AGGTCATTAATGGTGAATTCATGGTACGTGTATTTCACCGCAACTAAATAAATGAAAAAGAAGGCGCGCTGGTTGTGACCCTTCCAGCTGCCTTCTCGTGGGTCTGCCTGCTTTTTAAACTGTAACTCAATGATCTCATACACATTTCCTGGGCGCTCTGCTGGTTTCTCCTACTGACACCTCGCGGGCTCCCCCCGTGGTGGTGCTCTGGCCGATACACACAAATCAAGCCATATTTTAATAGCTGCAAAATGTCCCACCGTCACTCCCACCGGTGGGCGTTTGGAGGGTTTCCAGGCACTTGGCGCCGCGAGCAGCTGCCCAGGCATCCACGCACACGCCCCGTCATGTGGCCGCGTTTTGTCTCCGCAGGGCGGATTTACGAAAGAGTGGCTGGGCCGGACAAGGCGTCCTGAATCCTCATTGCAGCGCCGCCATCCCCGCAGCGGTGCAAGCGAGCCATTGCCCAGACGCCCGGCTGCGCACACGCACATCACGGCCCCAGAGGTTCTGCGCATTTATCATTTTTCCAATTGCACTGACAGTGCACAGCAACCCAGCGCGTAGGTGACGAGGTGGATTTCATTTGACAGCTGGCGGGGTTGGCCTCCCCGCTCGGGAACCTTCAGGTAGGGGGCCACAGACCCTTTCAGGATGTGGGGAGAGCTGTGAACGTTCCCCCAGAAAAGATGCGTGTGCGACACCCACATTTTGCAGACAATGTCAGGGGTCCCAGCAGAAGAGCCTGCCCGCCTGGGAGCCCTCGGTGCCCTGCCCTGCCCTGAGTTTCGAATGTGGCGCAGACTGCGGCAGCGCTGACATTTCTGATGAACACAAACACCGGCGTTTTTCTCGCTGCTGACGCGCGCCTGCGCCCTCTGCTGGACGCTTGCGTAGTCAGTGCGCAATGCGGAGGCAGAGCCCAGCGACTGGAATTTTCCTCTGCCTAAGAGTTGTTTGTTTTGTTTTGGGCTTTTTTTTTGTTTTTGTTTTTTTCCCCTCCCCTGCAGAACTGGCCCTGGAGTTTGAAGTCCAGACCGACTTTCTAGAAGTTGCTGAAGAAGCCCTGTACTTAATATCAAAATCAGCAAGTCTCAGGGAAATTATTTATCTCCCACTTTGGGAATGATTAGTTCTGGATGGAGCCTCTTATGGAATAGGGTTTGCTGAAAATTTATGAGGCTCCCTGGAAATCGGGAGACTATTGATTCCCGGTGAGTAAACGCTTTAAGCAAATTAAGTGGTGGTAGTAGTAATAATAATAATAATGGCTACTATTTGTCAAGTGTCTGCCCTGTGCCAGGCATTTAATCCCCTCAGTGATGACAAGGGGCAGGTTTGTTACCCAAATATTACCCGTGAAGAAACGGAAGCTCTGAGACATGCAGCTGCCGGGCCCAAAGCCACACAGCCGGTGGCAAAGGAAAACTCTAAACCAGGAGCATCAGGCGGCGGGCCCGGCCCTCCCCGCGGCACCAGGGGGCTGCACCGGCTGGGCTGCGGGTCCGGGGGCACGGGCCACACTGGTGTCTCCCTTCACCAGCACGGCCAGGTTGGGATAGAGGTGATGGGGCCCCGTGGCAGACAAAGCAGCTGAGGCCCTTGGAGGTGGCTCTTGGCCCCAAGGTCGCTCCCTGGGCAGGAGTGAAGAAAGAAGTAGACAGACAGACCAACAAGCAGGCACTGCTGTTAACGCTGCTGCCGGCAGAGGCCAGCTGTGCGCAGGGATTTTTAACGGGAGGCTGGTGAGGGTCAGAGAGGAGCCAAGACATACCAGCACCAAGCGGAGACTTTCTCCTTGTTGGAGTGAAGGGAGTTGAGAGGGGTCCTGCCCAGGGTGGCTCAGTGGGTTCAGCGTCATCCCGCAAAGCAAAAGGTCGCAGGTTCGATTCCCAGTAGAGCACATGCCTGGGTTGTGGGTTCAGTCCCCGGTTGGGGCACATACGGGAGGCAAGTGACGTTTCTCTCTCACATCAATGTTTCTCTTCCTCTTTTTCTCCCTCCCTTCCCCCGTCTCTAAAAATAAGTATTTTTTTAAAAAAGAGCTGAGAGCGATTTAAAAAGAAGATAACTTGCTCACCCTGGGTTTCAGTGTCATTTGGAAGGATGTCTGCCCCCCTTTTCTGATTTATACTGCACTGACCTCCAGAAGGGTTCGTGGCAACTTATAATTGATGAGCAAGACAGGGAGGCTCGCCATAACTCACTCTGGACAGAGAGTGGGTATGTGCCCCGGGTGGGGCCCGGCCTCGGCCCCGAGCCTGCTGTCGCCATGGTGACAGGAACCTGGTGCCGACGCAGCCATCGTCTGCGTGTAGTGAGCGGTCCATCGCCACAGAGTGGCTCTCTGGTTCCAGGGACTCTTTCCCAGGCTGGCACATGTGCACCGGGGAGCAAGGTCCCTCTCCGTGCGGCCACCAAGAAACCCCAGGACACTCGATGGCCTTTTCACGGGGGAGCTAACCTCAAAGGGTCAGCTCACCAGTTTTGTGGGTGATGGGAACTTAACAGAGACCAAGAAAGGCACCAAAGGGTCCTCCCATCTCCCCTTTCTCTCAAACATCCATAATTTAGCCCCCGACCTCAGCGAGACTTCCTCACTGAGCTCTCGGATGGCAACTACCGGCAGCTGTCGAGCGCCTCCTACTCCCAGGCTCTCCCAGCGCCCTCAGGGACCAGCGCCATGACTGCCCCCCATCCTGTGACCACAGGGCAGAGCCCCCGCCCCGGGATGTGTCCTGGGGTCCACGCCGATCTCAGACTCTGCGTCTCCACGCCGCCCCCGCAGTTCCCTGCTCTGGTGACTGCGAGCCCAGCCTCGGGGGAATGCAAGAGGGAGGGCCCGGGGCTGGATATCACACCCGGAAGACTGGCCCCAGCTCCCTTCCGGGGGAAGCCCACGCTCTCCACGAAAGAGGAGACCTGCCCACAGGACCGCAGACCGTCTGTTCCCCGCTGAAGGCCGTCCCCGATGCCTGGGGCCTGCACGGATTTTACAGTCCCACACGATGTTTGTGATTGCTTCCCCGACACTCCCCCCATTTTTTTTCTATTGGCTCCAAAGTAGGACCAAAAAAAAAAAAAAGCCTTCCAAAGAAATGTTTACTGAATTATCTACAGAATGTAACACGATTGCGATCAGTTGCACATCAAGTCTTCTATGGCTGTGGACATGTTTGGTCGAATCGGTGATGCCAGCCCATTTGAATGTGAGAGATCGGATGTTGAGGTTGTCGAAAATGAACCCCCAGGACCTGCAAGGGTGCTCAGTGACCCTGCCCCAGAGGCCGGGAACGTGCCCAGTTTCGGGCCAAGTGTTTAATTGAATGGGGGCCGCAGGAAGACAGAGCGCTTGCCTCCCAAGTTCCAGGGACAAGTGCCAGCCAGTGGGCTCTCCTAACAACGAAGACAACAGAGCAAAGCTCCAGGCAAAACATGACTTTGAGTAATGTCACTTGTTAAGTTAAAAGGGTGCTCTAGTCCCCCGCCCCCGCCAATGCACCTCATTAGCTAAATGGATTGACCCACTCGATGGGGTTATTTAATATCTGCCTATTGACTTTGGAGAAAGCCTGCCAAAAACAAGATCTCTGTTTTGACAGAGTTGATGCTCAACTGTGTTTTTTTTTTCCCTCTGTTATTTGTCAAGCAGATTGCTGAGCTGGGCACAGCCACGTCCACCGAGTGTACAGCCACGTCATCGACACAGATCTTACTTGCTATGGCAGCAGGAAATGCGGGCAATTAATTTAAAAGCTGAAGCCGTTTGCCGGGACCTAAGTCAGAAAGAAGGGCGCCAGGATCTCGCGCCTTTTCCGCCGCTTTAAAAACCAGCTTCGACGGTTGGGAGGCCGCCCCACACGGACCGACGGCACAGTTGTGTCAGGGGACAGGGCTTGAGAGAAACGCACGTGGCAGGTCCACGCCGTTCTCATCCTGCGGCTTCGGAGCCACGAACGGTTCCGATGAGTCTAAGGTTGTTTCTACCACTTTCCTCCGTGAAATGAGCTAGTCTGACAGCGGAGGGCGGTCCTACGGGTGTGCCCCAAGTTTTCTTCTCCTTTTGTACCATGGCCCAACCCTTAAAAAAATCAAGCCAATGCTTAAAAACCAGAACTTCTATCAAAAAGCCAGACTTGCAGCGCTAGATAGCTTGGAAAGATCGAGCCGCCTGTGAGCCACATTTCTGCCGGAGCTGAGCCATGGCGCCCTCTTCAGACAGGGGAGTGTATGTCCGTTTGCCCCAGTTCTCACCCTTCCTTATTGCCTCACCCAGCTCACTCACCCACACAGCAGGCCCGCAGGTCCGTAGCTGTTGCGAGGTACAGAGCCTAGAATTCGGCACAGCGCCACTCCATAGGGTGCTGCTGCAGGAAGGGGGGCACCTGGCAGTGGGGGGTGCGCACAGGGAAAGAAGGCGCCAGCCCCGCCGATGAGCTCATCCTCGTCTCTCCCGCTGCCTCTTCCAAGCTCAGCGCCACCTTGTCACCCTTCAACAAATCAGGCGCCCCCTGAAGATCGCGTTTGGAGAACCAATCTTTCCCCTCACCCCCAGCTCGAGCAGCAGACGCCTCAAGGGTGGCTCAGGAAAACTTCTGGAACATTTCTAGCTGTGGGAGCCTTTAGTTCCGTGAGTTTTACCAACTGAACCTCATCGCCCACGCTGCACACGACCTCCCAACATTTGCCAACACTCGTTTTGTACAATCACAACAGAGCTGTTCTCATTATGGCTGGTTACTCCTATTATCCCGATGCATTAGACGGCCTCCAGACGGGGGAGAAGGTAATTGGCTCTCCTCACCCCAAGCAGCGTTACTGGGCACCATGTACAAATAGCTTAAAATTAAAGGCTGGCATCAAGCCTATTAGGGCCGTAATGGATTGCAAAATGAACACAACTCACCTATTCCTATCAGCCCCTCCTCCGGTCATCTGCAAGCAAGACAGATAATTTACTATCTGATTCAGATTAATTACCACGTTTTCCGGCCTTCCCACTCACCAACAGTCATCTGAACTCTTCAAAAGTTATCCAAATCAGCTTTGATCAGCAATCATCCCCAGGGGGAGCTAAGCTGTAGCCTACTTCTTGGAGCCAGACCCAAACTTTCCACTCTGGAAAGCTTTGTTCAAGTTCAAGTCCTTCAGGTCCTTTCTCCTGGACTTTGCCATCCAGTAGGACAGGAACATTTGCCGCTCGTCCTGCCTGTGGTTCAGCTGGCGGGCGATGGCCTGCGGGGTCATGCCCTTGGCGTCCTTGGTGTGGACGGAGGCCCCATACCGGAGCAGGGGGGTTATACAGTCCGACTGGCCCATGGCGGTGGCCACATGCAGGGGCGTCCTGCCCATGGGGGACCGACCGTGGCAGTTGGCTCCTGTAAAACAAGAACGTCGGCTGAGGGGGCTGTCCTCCCGGCCCGTTCAGGGAAGGGAAGCCAGAGGGGGGGCAGCCGTGAAGGGAGAGCTTGGGCGGATCGACAGCTGCTGCCCACACCCCCGCCGGGTGCAAGGGAGGGGGCTCCACGTCCCCCAGCCCCCAGGGATTGCTCCGAAAGCCCTCGTCGCCCTCCTCCAGCGCCTCCCGGTCCCGGGGCTGACACCCCTGGCCTTGGGTAACGTTCCAGGTCATGACTGCTCTCTCTCGTCTCCCCGCCATCACTGCAGAAGACCCCGCGACACCCTCCCTCCCCCCCACCCCCCGCCACAGGCCCATCATCCCAGCCTCCTACCTTTATCCCGCGAACAGACCCTGCTACCTCGCCCTGCCCCTGGCCCTTTGCACGTGCTCTGCCCTTTGCTAAACACCCCCATCCTTTTTTCTCCCCCTGGGCTAGCTCTGCTCGCCCTGAGGTCTCATTCGCTTCCTCAGGAAACCCTTCCCCCAGCCCCCCTGCCGCCCCGCGAACTGCTCTGTGTATGTCAGTCGACGCCCCCGTCTTCAGAACACGCTGCGCACAACCGGCCATGGAATTAATTATCTGTAATCATCTCCGGCCTTCCCTTCAGAAACTCTACGAGGGCAGAAACCACAGCTGGTTTGCTCGCTGCCGTTTTCATCCCCAGCACAGAGTGCGACACCGGGGGAGGACAGGCACTCGGCAGATGCGCAGACGACGGCCGCCCGCCTCGTGGACAGGCGTGACCTTCCATCGCCTCCTTCGCTGCCTCCCGCCGGCGGACGGGCTAGTGACAGGTGTCCGATATGGGCTTGTTGAATGGAATCAAATTCTGGGGAACGAACGCCACGACAGAGAAAACAAGGCAATTCAATTTCATGCTGCCGACCTCTAGACAGCCCACTGCCACGAGCCGCGGCTCGTCGGTGGGGGAAAGGGTTAATTAAATGGGTCCTCGTGACGCCCAGCCTTGGCCAAGGCGCCTTTCTGCCACGGCTGTCTTGCAGAGGACAGAAAACTTTGTGAAGCTGGCTGTAATTTTTTAACTGGTGCTTTCAAATACATCACAGTTCCATCAGAGCGAAAATGACTTTTTATGAGCTTAAAGGACCGCTGGGCCGTGAAAAGCCCGTATTTCATCTTACAACAGGCAGAGCGCAGAAGGCCGAAACGCTCCGCCCATCGCGGCGCACGGCCCAGCCACCCTGCCCGGCACCCCTTGCTTGGTGGGAGTGGAACAAAGCAGAGGCTGCGCAGAGAGGGCCGGGGCAGGCTGCCGGCAGGAGGGAAGGGGTCTGATTCTGATTTGAAGGCGGGTTGACAGGGGAGACCCTTGGGTGAGGCCCCTTCAGAGCTTCCGACCACTGACCCAAGACCCTGTCTGCCACCCGCTCTTCCTTTTCCCGAGGAAGCGGTGGCCAGGGCTGCCCGCAGCTCTTGTCCATTGTTCTTGAATGGTCTACACCTCAATCCGTGGGCCTTTTTCCCAAGAACGTCCCATCCAGGGAAGGTACGGTATATTCCTGCAGGGCCTCACACAAAGCCCATTAATTGGGAGACAGCGCAGGCTGAGGGCAGGTGGCGGGAGAGAGAGACAGGGAGAGAGAGAGATGAATAGAGGGTGAAAGGGCTTCGGGTGACGGTCTCATAGGCTGGGAGGGGACTGGCCCACCTGCCAACCACCGAGAAGGCGGCTGGCTTGGGGCTGGCCCCTCGGACCGTGGTGGGAACCCCACCTCAGCAGGGGCCGGTGGGGGATCCCGCGGGAACATCCCCAGTGCATCCGGTCGGACATGGGAACCAGGAAGCCCTTCCGGCCGCTCTCCTGAAAGTTCTGTCTCCCCTCCTCAGAAAGCATTTCCAGGAGACCTGGCCGAGGAAGAGAGGGAACACAGCCTCTGCTTAGCACGTCCTAAGACACCTCAGATGGGGACCGTGATGGGTGGTTGACAGGACTTGGGCCCAGGGAACCGCTGCTGAAGGGACCAGGGAGACAAGCCGCACCGTTCTCCCTGCTCACAAGACTCCAGCTCTTGAACGTCGTCGGCGGTCTTTCAGAATTACCGTGTTCTAGAAGGTACAGAACAGCCTCCACGCGGCCCCTGTGCGAGGCGATGTACAAGGCCACGAAGGCTCTCTGAGCCACCCAGGCCTTCCAGTGCTTCTCCCCCAGGTACTGCGCGTTGGCGGATTGGCACGGAGACTCCTCGGCCACGCCGAGGCAGGACAGCTGCGTGAGAGACACAGAGCGACGTCACTCAGTGCTTTCCCGAGGACAGGCCCCCTGGCTGGGTGGGGGACGGGGCCCTCACCCCCAAGGGAAAGTCCGCTCGAATGCTACACCAAGGTTCCCGATGGGAGCAGAGAAGAGCAAGCCCTCATGGAGACGTTGGAACACAGCCGGTGGGCGGGGGGGACATTGTTTGACACTCTATACATGTCCAGGAAGTACCAATTTACCATCAGGCGGGCTCGGAAGGCAGGAAATTCTTCCTGTCAATGTTTTGAAGAGAGAAAAATAGATTTTTCGGGGTGTCCAGAGGAACGGGACTGTGGCTGGTAAGGAAGACCCCAGCCAGCACGAAGTCGCCCCGAGAGGGGAACAAACTTCTCTGGAGACTTGGCAGATTCTGACCGTCCGCTCTATTTTCAGGCCGTTGTCTCCGTTTAACTTTCAGAACATGCTGAACTCGGCTCTCGGTGAATAACAGCCCAGCGGTACCATCATCTCGGGGCGGATTAAAGCCCAGCACGGGGGGGCGGAGGGGACATTGTCCCTGACACCTGTGTCTGGTGTGGGGCAGCAAAGGGGGAGGAGAGCATGTGACCACACACAAGGCCGGGCTGATGGCCGTTCTGACTCATGACAAAAGGGAATAACCACACGTCCGGAGCAAAAGCCAGAAGGCGCAGGCCTGGGCCTGGGTCTCTGGGTCCGGGGAGGAGGACGCAGGCGGGGCCTGGAAGGGGCTGCTCAGGCACCCGGAGAGGGCACCCCGTTCCTCTGGGGCCGCGCACCCACACAGGGACGCCCAAGTCCCGGCCCTGCCTCCCCGGACTCCACCCCCATGCCCGGACCCACCGCAGCACCCGCCTGCACCCGGCCTTCTCTGACCCTCTCCCAGCCAGAACTGAACGCTGCCTCCCCCGTGCCACAAGCTCATCGCTTTTCATCCGAATTTACTTTCTGGAAAGAACATACAGTTGCCCCCTTGTGTCTGAATGATTCATCTCCACTGCTTCGTGGACAAGCTGGCCTTTGCCTCCTTTCCCCCCGCCCGCCCACCCCAAAGCCCAGCTGACCACCAAGCACAAGGCCTGGCAAAAAGTAGGCACCTACGGTGTGTCCAGATGGGGTCAGAGCCCACAAGGATAGGTCAGTGCACCTCCCGACACTCCGGGCCGCGAATCCCCAGCTCTGCCGAGTGTCTCGCTGGTGGTTAAATTAGGTTTCCCGCTTTACAAAGCCCACCAGTAAGTAGAGGGTGTGAGCCCAGATTCCTTTGGGGGGCGTGAGTGGGCTGTAAGTCACAAGTGGGTGGACACAGGGCAATGGACCTCGATGCAGTGCGTGACCGTGAGGACGGAAGCCCCTGTCACCTTTTTTCCCTGTTCTGAAACTTCCACTCCATGTTCACATGAAAGAGGAGGTGATGTCCCTCTCCCCCCCATACACACATGCCCACAATTCACAGTTGCTTCATGAGGTGTAATATCCATTTAAAGAATTATGAAAACACCTTACTGGTGTCCCCTTCCACAGCGGCCGACACCAGGTCCGTCCATCCATCATAGTGCCAGACACATAATGAAATGATTCCACCGGGAACCACGTCATGGGAGTTCAGTGTGCTGTCGTCCACCAAAGCTCCTATGGAGAATCGGGTTTGCTTTTAAAAAAAAAAAAATAAATCGGGCATTCAAGATAAACTATGGTGTTGGTGTAGTTAAGAGAAGACCTGGCTTTGAGTGCCACAAAGATAATTTTAGAACCTCGAGCGCAAACCTCGTTTGACGGCCCCACACTCATCTGTTGGGGGTCGTTAATGCTTTTAGAAAATTAATCTGGCTCAGCTGGAAGAGAAGCCAGCCCCCACATGCACACACAAAAAGAGGCAACGGTTTATAAAATTCTGGAATTATAACTCGCCCTGTTGTGAAAAACCACAAGTCCATAAAGTCATTTTCTGAGGCAAACTCTACAAATAGAACTAAACTTGAAGTGACGCTATATCCTAGACACAGCACAATGTAGTTATTTATACAAGTTGTGTACGTCAAGCTAAAACTCTCTGGTTGTTGTCGTTGTCGGCTAAAGAAGTAACAAGGACAAAAATTTGTTGGGTCATTCAAATTAGAGTCTATAGAAGCGTTTCTCCAGCTGGGTGCTATCGAGGTTCTGGAGGGGGTCCTTCTCTGTCGGGGGGCGCCCTAGGCATTGCAGCGTGTCCGCAGCACGCCTGGCCTCTGGGCACTGAAGGCCAGGAGCACCATCACCTAGTTGTGACCATCAAAACTGTCTCCAGATACTTGACTTGTGGTGGTGAACACACGATACAACGTACAGATGATGTGTTCTGGGATTGTACAGCTGAAACCTATATAACTTTCTTAACTGATATCACGCCAATAAATTCAATAAAAATATACAATTTTTTTAAAAAAAGTCTCCAGACATTGCCAAATGGCCCCTCGGGGACAAAACTGCCTCAATTGAGAAGCAATGGTAATAAGAATTGTAATGTTGACATTCACCAGAATTTGGATGGGGGATGTTAGAAGTCCTTGTCTATGGAATCGCCCAGAACAGCCCCTTACTCTTACAAAAAATGGGGTGAGCCCACTCACGCTTCATAAATGCAGACTCTTTGGGGGAGACGGAACTAGAAGGAGGGCCTAGAAGTTGTCTTTAGTCTATCTTTTTGAATACATGTGTTTTCTTCCATGGCCACCTGCATATGGCCTTGCTGAACGGAATAATTTGCTTTCTCCATAAATGGCGGCACCCATGTGTCAAGTCTCAACTCTGCCCGGGCTGGCGCATCATGTGTTCCAAGTGGAATTCGGGAGTTGTTTTTTGTTTGTCGGTTTGTTTGTTTTGCTTTCACGATCAGGGGGTCACTACGCACCTGTAAGAAGTACCTACACTCTTGCATCCTCATGGCACGCTGGCTCCGTCGCGTCCATTTGCTCATAAGCAAACGCAGGCCCCGAGTACGTGGCAAAGCCAGGCCCCCAGCCAGACGCACCTTCCTGTGAGCTCTGGGCGCCTGTCCCCCTGGGCGCTGTGGGCATCACCGGTCCCGAGCAACTCCAGCTATCGGATGCAAACAGGACACGGCGACGAGCAAATCTGGTAATTAGGGTCTTATCTGTGGTTCCAACACAGAGGATAATCAGTAATTAGTGTAAGCAAGACAACTTGTCTTCCCATCAACTTGGAAAAAATTGAGTAAAGCCGTGTTTCCCCGTGAATGACAAAGAGCGCAAGTCCCACGTGCCCGACGGCTCGTCTACAAATCCAAGCCCATCGCTTCCTGACAAGCGGGCAGCGAACACTAATTATCACCCGCTAAATAAACTGTTGGAGTTGACGACAGACGTGTCAGGGCGGCCCTCGCCCACGAGTGTGCTCACCCCTTTCCGATCTGTGTTTCTCAAGGTTTTCGCGCACATTACTGCATTCGACCCCCCGCCCCCGGCAACCTCGGAGGTTCGGGACGAGCCGTCGCTCCTTCTGGGCAGGGACCCAGATTTCGTCCATCAGCATAGTGCCTCCTTCCGTCTTTCCCGTTGGCCGTCCACAGCGAGGACCGCAGCCACGAGAGAGGTCAAGCTTCCCATCACGGTCGCTAAGTGCTTGCTGAGGGACAGGACTGTGACATCAGAGTTAAGTCACAATCCTGTGACTTAATTCTCTTGAATTTATTGCCTCAGCATAGCTCCTCAGCAGAAATAAATTCACAGAAGGGGTGCCAGACATCCGCAGCTCGGGCTACGTAATCTTCTAATTACTTGTTTTGGAACTCAAAGTCCTTCAAGAGTTCACCTCATTTTTAACACGTTAAATACAGGTTGGGTTCGAGACCTATTTCCCTCCGAATAAAGCTTCAGAAAATGCCCCCGAAGCATCTTCCAAACACTCCCTCTGTTAGAACCAGTACATAGGAAGAGACCTCGCCTTCCATAGACCACTTTGCCGCGTTGTGTCTGTCTCGGGAGGGGACCGGCACCGGGACTTCTCCGGCTGAGAGGGCTCCGCGCAGATGGGGAAACTGGGCGCTTGGAGGGCGATGTGCAGAGCGTGGTGCTGCGGGCCGGGCTGCTGGGACCTGTCCGCCTCTGTCCCCGCCCGGCCCGCAGCGCCGCGTGGCTGCACGCCCTGTGTGCTGCGGCCCAGCGCTCTTCCCTTCTTTTCTTCACGCGTCTTTGCGTTGATTTCCACCGGGTGGGGAGGTGATGGAGGCCAGGGACGCTGACCCTGCTCTCATATCCTGACTACCATAGGGAGCAGGCCAGGGCGGCCAGGCCCTCCAGCCGATGGAAGGGGACGGATGGAGAGGGAGAGGCTGGGCTCCAGGGTGTTTGCCCTCCACTGGGTGCCTCTCGCGTGGATGTGCCCAGAGAGGGAGCCTGGGGGTCCCGGTTTAGCCACAGGGAGCCTTGGGTGCTGGGCTCTGATTCCGTTTGGGCTGGCTTTGAGCTCCTGATGTGGTCAAGGACACAGCTTGAGATCCAGGGTTCAGATCCGAGCTGAGCCAGTGCCAGGGTTCAGGTTCGAACGTGGACAGGGTTTGCTTGGAGACTGGGGGGCCCGACGAGGGCAGAGTTTGCTCTGGATTTGGGGTTCTGGCGAAACCCAGGTTTACCTTCTGTTTCGGGGTCCTGGTGTGGGGAGGGTCTTCTCTGGGATGTGGAGTCCTTGCGTGGGCAGGCTTGTTGTGAGGTTCGGGGGTTCTGAGGCAGCCCCGGGAGTGGCAGCCGGGGGTGAGGATCAGGCAGGGCTGCCCTGGGATTGGGGGGGCGCTGATGGTGACGGGTTCTGCTCTGAGATCTGGGGTCCTGACGCAGGGCAGGGTTTGCTCTAGAACTTGGGGTTCTGATGTGGAGAAGGTCGGCTGAGGGACTTGGGTTCCAAACACAAACAGAGCTTGCTTTCAGCTTAGGGGCCGCGCGGAGTAAGCAAGGTTGTTTTAAACCTTGGCCTCCTCACACGGACACGTTGAAGCTCAGGGTGCTGACGTAGGCATGGTCTCCATGGAGATTTAGGGTGCAGACGTGGGTAGGTTTGCCGTGGTCTGGGGGGTCCTGTCGGGGGCAGAGCTTGTCGCGTGCTGTGGAGCCCCTCTGAGGACGCTTGGCTTGGGGCTTGGGTTCTGGTGTGGTCAGTCATGGTGAACTTGGGACCCAGCTTGCAGATGTGGGCAGAGGTGGCTTGGAGTTTTGGGGTCTGGATGAGGGAAGAGTTTGTTTTGGGCTCTGGCATCCTTACATACACAGAGATGGCTGAGGGATTGGGGTTCAAGATGCCCAAGTGGTTAGTTCATGGCTGGGGGGCTCGGAATTGGGCACATCCACTGGGGCTTAGGGTCCTGGTCGGGGTCAAGTCTGCCCTGGCCTTCAGGTTTCTGGTGCAGGCAGGGGGAGTGTGGGACTCATTTGAAGTTCGAACGCGGGCATGCTTTGTGTACAGATACGGGGTCCTCTCAGGTGGGGTTTGTCTCAGGCTCTAGGGCCCCTCAGTGAGGATGGCTGCTGGGAGATTTGGGGTCCTGATGGGCATGTGGGTAGCCTAGGGACCTGGGGTTCTGTCTTGGCCAAATTTATGCTTGGTTTTGGGGTCCTAAAGTGAGCAGGGGCTGGTTCACGCTTTAGCGTCCTTGCAGGAACATAGTTGCCAAAGATTTTGGAGTTCTGAGACATCGGTGATTAGCCTGGAGATTCGGGGTTCAGTCTTGGGAAGCTTTGCTCTGGGTTTTGGGATCCTAAAGAGGGTGGGTTTGTTTCAGTCTTTGGTGTCCTATATGGACATGGCTGGCTGGGAGATTGGGGACCCTACATCCACGTGTCCAGCGTGGCGACATGCAGTCTGCTTTGAGTCTGGGGTCCTGCTCTGAGGTGTGCCCCGAGTTATGGGGTCCCACTGAGCACAGGCATTTTTGGGGGCGGGGTCTTGCAGTCTTAAGTGGCACCGTTGGCTTTGGGACTTGAGTCCCTGAGGAAGGCTTGGGGTCTGGGTGGCTGCAGGACCTGCTGTGGCAGGGTACTTGGGGACCTGAGGTCCTGACACGGGCAGGGTTTGCTTTGGGGTGGGAGCCCCAACTGGACAGGGCGGCTTGTGGAGCGAGGTCCCCCTCTGGCCTTGAGGTATGAGGTCTACGGTGAACCTGTCCATCTGGGATTGGGAAGACCCTGGGTGGCCAGGGTTTGCTTCTCCATCTGAGGTTTCCAGTGGGATTGGGCTTTGTTTTGGATCTGGGGGTGCTCACTGGACAGGCCTCCCTTTGAGGTCACGTGTTCAGAAGGGGACTGGGCACCCAGGGTCGAGGGAGTACAGAGGGCGAGGGACGGGGCTGTGAGGGGGCCACCTTGGTCCAGGTACTGGAGCTGCTGGAGGTTCAAGGGGATGCCGGCTATCAGGTCCAGCTCCTCTTTGAGCTCACGCACAGTCATGTCGCCGCGGCAGTTTGTCACTTGGAACATCTCCCCGGTCTCCTCCAGCAACACCCGCATGGCAAAGATGTCTGGGACCAAGTCCAGCGCCAGGCTCCCAGCCTGCGGGTCCGCGCCGCGGCTCTGGCCGTGGGTGCGGGCCCCGGGCTGTGTGGAGACACGCTGCGGGACCCGCGAGCCCACCCCCCGCCCGCCCGGAGCGGGGTCCGGGCGAGGGGCGCCCCCTTGCGGCCCCGCTGCCCGAGCCGCACCCGCCGCCGCCCGCAGCCTGGCTCGCTGCATGGCCGGCCACTGGCTTCAGCTTCGCCCGGCGTCATCCCGACTCCCTGCAGCAGCCGGCCTCGCGTCATCATTGACTCCGCCCTGGTCGCCCCCTGCGACGCCCGAGCCCCCTCTGTGTGCTGGTGGCCCCCCACAAAGAGCAGAGGCGCAGCTCCACGTGGCTGCGGTGCCGGGCCTTAAATAAACTGGCAGGGCCCGGGCACTCCCCAAAACCGTGGGAAGCTTTGTTGAGATCAATACAGAGGTCTCGCTAGGAGGCCGCGCCGCCGCGCCTCCGCGCCCCCGCGCCCCCAACTCCATCTCGAAGCTTCCAAGCCGCTCTGTCAGTTCCTTTAGTCTGGAACACGAGGCACTTCCGGCCACTGTTAGGAAATGAGAGCCTCTGCTCAACGTTTGCTTAAAACACAACCTTTGCGTCATTCGGGGCCCACTACCTGGAGGAATTACCTGGGAGCAAGGCTCTCTCGTTCCTCCATCACTGCGCCCCCGGCACAGGCAGGGCTGTGAAGCGCGGCCTTTAGTCCTGCCTGGAAATCGTGCTTCTAGCGTGAATGAAAAACCCAACACCGCCAAAATATGGCTCCTTTCAGCAGACCTGGGCCTGATTTGGTGAGAAAAACAAAACCTAACCAAGCCTGGCACTTGGCCACCGCGGAAGGGGGAATCAGGCCTTCATGAAAACCTGCAAAACTGCACCAAAACCCAACGGTTTTGAAAATGCTCGGGAATTCTTGCAGTGAGAAAGGTGCTGACAAGAAGAACCCAGATGAGGGGTGACGGCCACGCGGGGAAAGGCCGGGCCGGGTCTGCTGTTGAGATGCCTGCCGAGGGGGCTCTGCCTGTGAGAGGCCCTCTTCTGCTTTCCCATTAACTCACCTGAGGGCAGGCCCCAGGTTCAAGTAAATAGGAAGTTCATGTGGGGCAGTCGGGCCCCAAACACTCAGCCCCTGGACCCACACGGTCATTGCACAAAGAGCCACGTGATGAGAGGACACCAGGGAAGAATGCTTGGAGAACCAGGACAAGCTTAGTGAAAGCTCAGTGGCTACCATTAAAAAAAAAAAAAAAAGGCTAAAATGTGAGTTTTAAACGCATTTTTTTTGTGTGCAGAGACATTACAATCATTTAAAAAAAAACAACAAAAAACCTTTGCATTGGAAAAGCATTCCTATCACAGAAAACTTTTAACATAAACTGACATTTGAAAGGCTGCACAATTTACTAGAGTCTCTAGGCTGTCGACAAGCACGTCTGACTCAGCGTGCAAGCTCCACACATCACGACACAAACAGAAGCTCATCTTTTTTCCTTAATGGAAAATTAAGCTCTGCACAGAATACAAGATTCCAGTTGAATAATTCCACTTGCTGCTAGATCAACAGATTGTAACAATATGACAATCTCAGTTTCTAGGCAATAAAAGAAAAAAATTTAAATGGCCTGTTACTGAAGCTAAACACTGCCTTTGTGTACTTACCGTAGGCAAGAATTGAATGCAAAATGGAGGTGTTTTCTTTCTTCCTTAATATGTGCCCCCCCCTTACTGCCCCACTCTTTGTTGCGGCTGTCCAAACGCAGCCCTGGCTGCGCTCTGAAATCCCCGCGCACGCCCCTGGCCCACCGCCTTGCCTTCTGCGTGCAGCAGTAGCAGCAGCACCCTGGGACTAGGGGAGGCGCGAGCATCCCAGGCAGCAGGATGTTCAATAGCGAGTTCAGAGATTTTATTTAAAACAAAAAGAAAACACTGACAAGCAAAAGGTCCACGGGCAGAGTCAACACAGCCGAGGTGCCCTTGGCCCTACAGGGCGGCCCCTCCCTCCCCTCCCGCCCACCTTTGAAAAGACACATGCGTTAACCAGAGGGCTGTGAGCACATGCGTGTGTGGAATTCAACCCAATGTTCATAGAACCTTGAGTTACTAATGAAAAGCCTATTTAAATTCTAGAGCATCTTTCTTAGCTTAAATTTTAAAAGCATGAAATCTAAGTCCTGTGTACTTAGTCAGTTTGAAGAGCACCACAATTTAATACCCCAGACAACCGGTTTTTTGGGCAAGTCTGTGGACTGATCAGAACTAGGGTGTCCTATCGTTTTAAGATTCTAAAGCGTGAGGATTTAAAGGCAAATCCACGCATCTCAATGACCGACGTCCCTCCTGAGTCCTCAGGCATTATGACAGCATCAAAGAATGAAGTCCTTCTGCTTCGGGCCTCTAGCAAAGGCCAATACAAGTCTTTACGGCCACAGGCCTGCAGCAAAGGTGGGGGCAGGGGGGTGGAGTTCTGAACAGAGTTTATAACAAACGTGCAACACTGGAAAGATGGCCATAAATCATCCTTTAGTACATTTCTTTACTATCACGTTTTCCAAAAGTAAACAAATTGGGCTCTATTTGCAGCAACTCAAAGTGGAGCATAAATTTAAATGATGTATTTGTTCTGTTCACTGATATGGGGCTAATATTACATTAATATCTTTTCCTCCTGTCAAGAGTTATTTACATATGTACAGTATTTCAGTTGAAAATAAAAGATAATGCCACAAACTATATTTTATAGGAAAGCAGAAGGGAGCCAAATGTGTAAGCCTCTTAAAGACTGAAAAGCTCCTAATAAACTCCTTTATTGGGGGGTGTGCTTTAAATAATAGAGCCTATACCAGAGAAAGCCAACTGCCCGCGGGTACCTGAGGCCATGGAGGGCCCCACGCCCAGTCAGCCGCCTGGCTCTGTGCCCTCTCAGGCTACGGATCAGGCAGGCGGCCTGGCCACCCGAAACCTGTGCCCATCCCAAGGGCAGCCCCGTGAGTGCAGGTGGGAAAGGGGCTGCCGACGGTGGGGGTCGGGGAGTCAGAACCCCGAGCTTCCTCCCTCGGCGGGTCCGACTATGGCCGGAGAGATGCACCAAAAAGGGAAGGACCCGCATGGGGGAAATCACAGGGCTACTCAGTTCCGCTTCTCCAGCACAGCAGTGTCCGGAAGATTCCGCCGCTTTGGTTCTAGAGTGGCCAAAAAGGAGACATCTTGGTCCCGGTTTGACTGCAAAGCTAAGATGGTCTCTTCAACGACTTCAAGATGAGGGTGACCGGCATTTCTAAGGTATGCTAGGGAGAGAGACCGCGGGTTTGATGTGCGTGTGCCCCTGAACCGTGGCCCAAAACGTCCCCTTGTCCGAAGGGTTCTTCAACCACATCTCAGGCCAACAAATGATTTTTCAAAGACTTGTCACATGTATAAGTCCTTAAAGTGATAAAATTGCTGTAATCAAAGAGTATTTCTAAAATTTCAAAAATGTCCTCCCAAGAACAGGTAGGCATATTTTAAAAATAACTAAAAAACTTCTAGTATCATCTTTTCTTCCCTCCAACAGAGCGAACTTTCCGAGGGCCCCTATCTTATATTAAGTCCTGTTCAGGCTGAAAATAACTGACCAGGTTAGACTATGTGCTTTTTTCCTACTGACTACAAAACCAGACCATTAGTAGCAGCTAAGCCTTAAATGTGCTACCTCTCATAATCTGTACATCATAATTCGAAATTTGCAAAGTTGCCTTCATTTCTAGAAGACTCTAATATTTTGCATTTTTGCGTGTTTATTAATTATGAAAACTGAACCGCATCCATTTCCTCAGTCCTTTTTTGGGTAACATGAACTATGCATCAAAGTGGACACAGTGATTTATGTAATCCACCTGAAGTGTGCAATCACCTTATTGGCCACAATTCCTAGGGAGGGCACCTTGCTGCCGCTCCAGGACGTTTGAGACGTGGGGGCTGAGGAGCGGGCCCACCTACCCTTCTCCAGCAGCGTCTGCCTCAGTGCCTTGGCCAGCAAGACCCTCACGGTGGGCACGGGGTCCGACGCAAGGCTCAGGAGGCTGGGGGGCAGGTGCTCAGAGGACTGGTCCCCGGGGATGCCATCCTCGCTCATCACAGCCTGGGACAGAGAGAAGGCCAGAGCCATTGAACCAGCAGGTTTCGCTTGCCGTCGGCACAGCTCTTCTAAAAACACCCGTTTCTCAACTCCAAAGAAGCCAGCTCCAGACCTGCTGCTCTGGCAGAGTGCGTGTGTGTGTTGAAACCAAAAACTCAGCCACGAATCTGGCCAGAAACAGAGTTCCCACTTTATCATGCCTCACCAGGCCGGCCTCAGGTGAGCAAAAGGCTACAAGCCAGGCCCGTCTAGGCTCCGCCCTAGCTGGGCTATGCACACCCGCCTCTGTAGCTCTGCTCAGGGCATGAGCCACACGGAGGCGCTGGGGCTTCAGGGCACTCTGCAGCAGCGAGCGCAGTGCCGTGGGTGGAGTGGAGAGCCCTCACCCCAGCCCCTCGCCGCATCCAGGCCCTGAGGGCAGGGCTGCGCCTGCGGGGCGACCACCAGACCCCGGACCCGACCCAGCGCCAGGCCCTCTGGAGCCGTGGGCAAGCGCTGCTCCCATAACAAGCCCGGCCTCTGCACATTGGCCTCCGCTGTGCTCGTCGGGGGTCTGCCAGGGACGCTGGTGGTTCGCCCTCCCAGCCAGCCAGGGCAATCGGAATCGGCTGCATTTAGGGTGCGCGAACTCCGCTGCCCTGTGGTCGTGACACCCAAAGGTCTCACAACCAAGCAGCAGCAGTGGCTGGAGACTCTTAAGCCAGGCGTGTGCCACCTGCAGACCTCACTCCCGCAGATGCTCACAGCCGGGGGGCCCCGGCGCCTGGCGCTGTGCGGGGCGACTCAGAAGCGTCAGCTCCTTAAAGCAGCCATGCACAACCACAGGCCCCCGTCAGATGAAAGGGGGGCGCAAGGAGGCTGCGTGGCCCAGGCCCTTCACTGGGCTGCGAAGCTGGTGGCATGGCTCAGAGTCGGCCCTCACCAGCTCCAGGCTCTCGCCTGGCGCCAGGGCCACACAGAGTGACCACCAGCAGGACCCTGGGAGGCGGGCAAGGCGGAGGGCCCTCCCTTGTGCTGGCTGCTGTAGGTTTTCTAAGTCTTTAATGGTTAATTAGTGAGGGCACATGAAAAATTAGTTGTTCTTGAACAAAACTGGTTGGCACCTTTTCCTTTTGTTTCATCATATGTTTCCTAAATCTGAGATTAAGAATTTAAAAATAAAAGTAAAAATGTCTCATTTACCCTTGGTCCACAAAATGCTTTGGAGCACCAACTTTTTTACAGAAGCCTGGCGTGTCAGGCCTGGGGTTTGGGAGGTTGGCACTTCCCAAAGCGGATGGCCAAAGCGATGCCCTGTGATGCCCCTCCAGCCCAGCAGGGGGCCCTCGTAAGTCTTTCAGCTGGGGGCAGGCAGTGCTTTGGAGGGAGAGAAAGGAGCTCTGGGGCCTGGGATCAGGCGGAGTCCAATCGTGGCTTTATTGCGCTATTGACAAAACCAGGTGACAGCTCGCAAGATTCAGCATTTCATTCCCTCTACCTCTATATGTGCTCAAAATGTGCATAAAATAACCCTTCAGCAGAAAAAAGTATGGCTTTAAACTGTCTGTGTGATCTTGAGGAAATCACTTAACCTCTCTGGGCTCCAACCGCTTCCTCTAACAACAGGTGTAGGAGTAAAGGCCGTAGTGCTCCACACATGGCACACCCTGTCACTGAAGGAGAAGCACGCGAGGAGACGCCTGGCGCAGGGAGGTGGTCAAGGCATGGCCGGCGTCCTCCGCAGCCGAACAGGAGTCGCAGCCTCCCCGCCACGAGCCACCGACAGGGGCAACCTGAGCTCCACGGGAAGGAGATGCCAAATCTCCCTGCGCCCTGTCGCTCGTGCGTCACCCAGCCGCCCTCCTGGGCAGCAGGCCAAGGCGAGGGGAGGGGCGCGCAGCCCAGACCTCGCTGCAACAGGGGAGCGCTCTGGGCCCCGCCCTCATCCCTCCCCGCAGGGAGGGGAGGTGCTGGGAGTGCAGGCGCTGGTTCGCGCCTCCAGCATCTGGAGTGTGCCTGGCGCACAGTAGGCGCTCAATCAATAGCTGGAGGCAAAGCGTGCACAGGCTGGGAAACCCTGGGCCGGCGCTCTGCCTGCTGGGCTGCCGGTCTCCCGGGAGCTGAGTGAGTTTGGCCCCCCGACCCCCAAGTCCCTGCCTGGCCCTCCAGGCCTGGGCCCCTCGCCTGGGACACCTGGCACCAACACATGGCCGGTCCTCCAGGCCATGCTCACCTGGCGAAGGACCGAGAGCTCGCCTCCCAACCCACTGGGAGCCATGCCGGAGTCCAAGGATGAATTCGCTGATGAAATTTAACCCCAAAGCACTTTCGCCATTTGAACAGAACTTCGGCAGAACGGCCACGGCCTGTGGGAAACGGTCAGACCTGCAAATGTAAAATGCCGCCGTGTGTCTGAATCGTGTCTGCTGCTCTGCGTGGACACTAGACGCCTTTATGCGCCCTCCGTCTCGACAATGAACTTAGGAGCACAAGCGAAAGTAATTTTGTTACAGTCATCATTAGAAACCAGAAAAAAAAGATGTTTAAATATATGGCAATGCACAGACACACACACAGAAAACCCTTTAAGTAAAATTTAACAAGGGCCTGGCAGTGAAAAATAGATCATTTATCTTAAGATTCCAAACCCGAGGAACTATCCGCTTGCATAATAACTAAATCATTACCTTTCAGAATGTGTAATTTTCATAAAATTTTAATACCATCAGAGTATCTTAGTAATTCAATATTTTCAAATGAGACTTTCCCACCTCAGTCCTCAGCTGATATAAGCCCACATAAGCCTTGGTATAAAACAGGATCGGCTTTTCTAACTACTTTTCTACAAAATCACGCTGTAGAGTAAACCCAACCTGTGTTTAAAAGAAACACGAAGCCATTATTTAAAGGGTTTCATTTATTCAATGATTTACCCACAATTTCCATCCCCGAACCATACAACAAAAAGACAGTCTTACATATTGATGAAACTGTCATACAGTTCCTAATTCCAAAATATAAAAGCTGGTTTCATAGGTAAACAGAAGAATTAAGCCCAGAAAAAAAATAAAGGAGTTAAAAATGGAAGAAGCATAAATATTCCTATTTCCAAAAATCACAAGCAGAAAAAGCCATGATTCCTTACTAGTCTGAAGGAGAGCCACCAAACTTCAGAAATTTTATCTGCACACAGCTTTAAGGCAATATGCATCAAATAATTGTAGACATCATTGGGGTTTTAGAGTTCCAAAATCAGTATCAGCTGCCTGAAATTAAAAAAAAAAAAGAAACTGTTTTGGGGGCAAAAAAAATATATTATTACCTTCTCTTTCTTCTCCCTTCCTCTTACGGATAAAAATAACCAGGCTGCAAAGCAGGGCAAGGAGGACCCAGGGAGGCTTCCGGCCAGGGAAAGGCCAAAAGCAGAGTTGAGTGAAATGACCACGTAAAGAAAAGCAAAAAAAAAAAAATCTTATTTCTTCATCTCACACACACAAATCAAATAAAAAGGAAATAAATTAAACATGGTAAAACAGAGGCTAAGAAATTTATGAATAGGGATTTACTATTTCAATTTGAGGTTATCAGTTCTAAAACACATAAAACTTTCAGAATCAGATAACATAAAAATAACCAGAACGTTGAAGTTCCCGAAGATCAACAGATCAAGGGAACACTCAAATGAGATTTCACTGCCTCCGCAGTGTTCCCGAAGCTGCAAATTAAATTTTCTGCGGCGGCTGGCGGCTCCCGGCTGGAGCGGCGCCTGCCAGCCGCAGCCGGTCCGCTTGCAGAGAACTGGGCGCCGCGGCCGGTCCCTCCACGGGGGGATCCATCCGCCGCTGGTGGGGAAAACCGCCCACCCGCGCGCTCGCTGCGCTCCACGCCGGCGTGGGGAGACGGGGCCGAAAACCAGTGGTGTTATGTCTGCACTGGCAACAAAAGGAAATGAGAAAGAGATGGGAAGGAAGTTAGAGCCAGAAGCCAGGAGTGCCGGGGAATACTTTCGTACCAAAAAGCACTGTTTGCAGAAAAAACGGTACCAATATCACGGCACGGGAACGCGGAATTCCTGTCAGTGGCTTTGGCTGCAATAACCACGGCAGAGCTGGGAGACAGCTACAGCTCGAAGACACGGCTGTCAGGCGACGCTCCCAGTTGGGAGCCAGGCCGCGGCTCGGTCCCGTCCCCGTGCCGGCCCGTCCCCGGTCCAGGTCCCTAGCCCTGGGGAAAGCGGGTCGGCCAGACCCCGGTTCCCTGACTGCTTCCATCTCCAGGAAGCGCATCAGCTCGTCCCTGTCCTCATCCCCGCCCGCGTTCACATCCCAGGCTTCGTCCTCATCTACGCCCCCGACCCTGTCCCCGTCGCCATCCCCATCCCCATCCCCGTCCCCATCCCCATCCCCAATCCGGACCGGGGCCGCGGGCCGCGGGCCAGGGATGGACTTGGTCGAGCGCCCGCACACTGCCGCTAGAGGGCGCAACGCTTTCATGAAAAAACTTGGGCTGTTTTTCTCTGTCCTCAGTATACACCGGGAACATGGCATAATGACTAAAACCTCAATCGCTCAAATTAAGCATAATGATCAAAGATCACAGCAAAGAGAAAATCTTTTAGTTTGCCCCCGGCATCGGCCAAATCATATCCTGAATAGCTGCAAAAGCTTGATGGATTTCTACAGGGAAGACAGTTATTTGAGATTTCTAGTTGAGGAAGAAAAATGAAAACTGAAGATACCGAAATAAATCTTGACAAGGTGAAAACTAAAACCCAAACAACAGCCACCACAAACAAATCCACTCGATACTGCGGAAATCACATTATGCACCTAGGGAAGGAGGATTATTTAAAGCGATGCTTTCGCTCTATTATAACCACTCAAACCTTTACCATCCCTTCTGCCGGCGCAGATGGAATTAAATAACCCCTTCACGCACAAAATGATATACAGATCTGAGCCACCTTGGGGGACGGTTTTATTTAATAATTGTCTCATCTGGGTTAGACCTTTTCATAATACCTCTCACTGTAGCATAATTTCCTTTAGAAGCTGAAGTGGCCCCACCACGCTGTGCCCTGCAGAGAGGGCTCCACTCCGAATGTTCAAGAAAGCTCAGGCAAAAGACTGCTCCGATGAATAGGAAAATATTGACGAGTGGGTGATTCATCTTTTATTTGGTTCGAATAAATTGCCTTATGGAACAGCAGAACACTCTAATTCCAGAGTGACGCGGGCCCTGTCTCCATCAGAACACGAACGTCTGCCCAGAGACAGAGGTATTTGTAGCTCAGGGCTTGGAGTTCAGCTTGTCCCTTCATAAAAACATAATCTCTTTATCCAAAAAAAGCACTATTACTGCTAGTTAGAAATCAATTAACAGGAAGCCAAATGAAGAATTGTTCCATCTAATTTGCCTTCTCAGGGCCCCACACAGGTTTTACTTACTCTGCTAGTTCATATCGGAACATCCAATCCCTGCTGTTATCGGTCACTACCAATTCTTGAAGCTGATAAAGATATTCTCTCCTCTTGTCTTCATGAAGCAACTATTTTTTTTAAGAATGACATATAAATAAAAATATACAATCCCTTAACATGAGCCCACACTTCCTGTGTTATTAGACTTCAGATTATACATTTGTTGCCAGCCTGCAGCCACGCACCCCCCTACTGCCTCTTGGACCCAGGTGGTTGTGCAAACGTTGCCCTGAACAGATGCCAGCACAGCCCCGGAGGCTTTGGCCTCCCCCGGGGCTCCGTACAGGCCACATGTCCTCAGGGCCCCAGCTTTTCCCCAGCAGGACTCCTGCCTGTGAACCCCGTCATGTGTTCACGGGTGGGGCCCGGCTGCTTCCCAGGGCCGGCCTGCTCTGAGCTGGGCACCAGAGTCCTTCAAGGGCAGCTCAGCTTGTGAACGCAAGGGATTAGTTTCTCTAGGTCTTTTTTAAATTCTTATCCTTGCACTCCTCATTCCCTTAGGAGGAGGAGAAACAGAAAACCAGGCAAGCAGGGGAGCAGCAACGACTTGGTGCAGCAGCAAGACCGATGTCAGCCAGCTCAGAGGCAGGCAAGGCCGCCCCACCAGGGGCCTGGCTCTGTCTGAGTCACAGAGCGTGCGGGGCTACCCGCCCACAACCCTCCACAGAATGAGACCTCTAAGGGGCAGGGGCTTAGGAGGAAAGGTGTAAAAACATTCACCCCTCACCAAGAGAACAGCCACTTTGAGATTTTAGATGGTATGTTTCAAATGGAAAAAAACAGACACCTGCATTGTGTTTTCACCGATTCCCTGCACGGCAGGGCTTTAAAAAGCTGTTTTGAAGAGTGGAATTCTGCCTCGTGTTTTTCACCCTTCTTCCCACCTTCAGAAAATCACACAGGTGTTTAAGGACCCACTTTGTCCAGGTCTTTTAAAAACCTGTTGAAGATGGGCACCAGGTCAGCAGCTGTCAACTGGTCCCCGAGAATCACAGCCGGCTCGTGGGTGGAGAAGGCCAGGGTCTGACGTACCTTCCACTGGGTGCACGACAGACACCTCTTGCACGTCGGAGGCCAGGGCCGCGTACGTCTCCTTCAGGCAGTGCCAGTTCTGTGGGCCCAGTGTGAGAGCCACCCCCGGGAGGCTGTGGGCGCAGTGCTTGGCGATGCCGGCGGCGACCGTCTGGGCACGAGCTGGGTCGGCCATCGACACGTACTCATCCAGCAGGGGCTGAGGTATCACACCCCGGGAGATGGGAGAGAGGGGAACTGGCACGCTTGCTGGAGAGAAAGGGAGGGCTCACGGAAAACAAGGCGTTCGGAACTGGGAGGCGAGAACGGGAAGGCGGCAGTGTGAGGGGCCAGGGGCCTTCCCCGGGCTCTGGACGGGCCAGCTTCTCACTCTGCGCGTTCTCAGGCTGGACTCAAGTCAGAGCAAGCCCACGTGCATCTTCCCAGAGTTCCTCCGAAGCTGGCACCACAGGGAAGAGTCTGGACATCGCTGTTTGCTTCATCTGGAGCACACGGCTCTTGGGAATGGAAACAGTGCTTTCTTGTAACTTCCCCCAGCACGTAGGGCCCCAGCCCCGACCCTCTGCTCAGCACTGATCCCGGCCGTCTGACGGGACACAGCCTTCCTGGACGCCCCGCTCGCCTTCACCTCCGTAAGCACGATGGGGCGCCCAAATCACATCGCACACGAAGCCGATACGCAAGACAGCAAAGCCAACCATGGCTCCCAAAAGAAGCCATCAAAAACTCTTCAGACAAAAGGGAAGAAAGCAAAATTACTAGTATAAGTAGACACTAAGTATTAGTGTATAGATGTTACATTTTTCTTTGATTTGATTTGCTTTAATTAAAACACTATTCTATGTTATTCAGAAGACTTTAAACACGATTGTAGAGTTTACTGCTTTTTTTAAGCTAGAGAGGAAATATTAGCACCATAGATTGTAAACTACGATATGTCATGAATATTGATGGAAGAAAAATATTTGCTTCCAGTGGCCATTCTTAAATTTAACTCCCAGAGAAATGTGAAGTTTTGGGCTGCTTTTCTTTTCAAGGAACAAACCTGTCGGTTAGATTTATTCTCCTCCTGTGGGATGGGGTCACGCCTCTGCTTGGTCCCCAGATGGTCACCGCTTCCGTCCTGAGGCTCCTCTCGACTCTGGGGGGAGGGGGCGTGTGGCCAACGGGCCCTGAAGGAGGAAGGGGGCCTGCTGCTCCCCCTTCGCAGAACCCGCTTTCGAAGCTGGAAGTGACTTTTGCCCCCCCGAGAGGAGAGCCTCCCGTTAGGTCGAAGCCCTCTCTCCAGGCACCAGAACATACATTCGCACAGTTATATGTAGTGTTTATAGACCAGTCTCTGTAAGTGTCGAGGCAAACACATTTCATTCATTTTCCTTTCAAAGCTGCACAGGGCCCTTACAAAAGACAGGCTAGCGCTGGCGAATGCCAACGAGCTGAGCCTGTGTCAACCACTCTTCCAGCCCCGGGCTCCCCAGCGTCGTTACCCAGGGCCCTTAAGGAGCAGTCAGTCATACGTTTAAGGCATGCCCCTCCCACCCCCAGAAGGCATGCGGGGTTTGCCAGAAACCGAGAGGCACCCCTGTGGGGCCTGAGAGGGTGGGGAGGCCAGGACACCGGCCCCTCCCCGCGGGCAGGGGCGCCTGCGGGGGGCGGGGCGAGGGCGGGGGCGGCCCCGGTGCCGGCCCTGGCATCTCACCTGCACAGACGCCTGCAGTGCTGGCGGAGGGGCCCATGCGTTGGGTCAGCTGTTCCAACGTGCAAGAACGTTCTGCGGGGACACTCGGGTCTCCGATCACTGAGTGGTACCGACGGAGACAGGCCTGACCTCCTGCTCCCACCACGACACGGGTTTCCTACCTGCGCTTGAAATGTCATACTGTCCACCAGCTGAATGCATCCTGACAAACCAGCTCCATGTATGATCCGGGAAAGTCGATTAACACACCAACATGCGCTCCGTCGGCTCGGAGGCATGCCACCGGCCCCTTGGTGCCGGGTTACCGGCCCTGAAACACACTGCTTCCTTTAATAGAGGGCGCGATAAAACAGAAATGTCTTGGCATGATAACCTAAGACCTCAATTTCTCCAACTTAATAAATTCACGTAGGTTAATAAATAATAAATCATTTCTCTTCTTTCAGGAGCTCACGGTGCTCCCAAGTCTCCGTCTGGAATTGTACGGAGAGCACTCGGCACAGGGGCCACGCGGGGGCTTCAGTACCCCCCGCCCCCCACCCCTGCAGGCAGGCAGCCCCCAAAGCACTGTGAGGTCTCTTCTCCAGAAAACTGCGTGGCAGCCAAGAGACACATCAGAGAGGAGAGGCCCCCTCCCGCTGCCATGTCAGGGCTCGGCTGGTGAGCCAGGGTGGCGGAGCGGCCGCGCGGGCTGGGGGCAAGGGCGAGGAGCTGAGTGGACCAGCCTGCCACCGCGCCTCCCCTGTGGCTCCTCTCCAGCTGTCTGTGCCAAAGAGCCACTGTCCTCGTGGTTGAAGCTTTTTGAGTTTCTTCTTTCTTCTCCTTTTTCAACAGGCAGGTCGTACGGGAACCCAAGACTACAGCTGCAAACCAGGGCCCGAGGGCGGAGGCCCTTCAGACCCTCCCCTCCGACAGGCCGAGAGTCAGGAGCCGGCTCAGGCTCTGTGGTTCCCCACTCCCACGCCCGGCGGGCATATGTCCTCCGGCACCCGCAGGCCGAGGCCATGCCTTTCTTCCCTGACACACCCGATTTTAACCAGGGCGGCCATGTGAGTTCTCTTGACTATTTTTTGAAACAAGCCAGCAAAATAGGATGTCACTTCATTTCTTACTAATGAAAGGTAACCTTAATAAACTCTTAATCATTTTATTTTCAGGGTCTTTAAATGTGTCTTTTGCTTTGCTTTATGGAGCAGGCCTAGGGAGGGGAAGGGCGGTGACAGTTTGTTGAGCTGCTAAAACCCGCTGTCAGATGAGTGGGAAAACAACTGGTTTTCTGGCCCCAGAGACCATGGGCTTGGAGAGGGTGCCCGTCAAGGCACAGGAGGAGGGGAAGGTGCCGACGTGCCCACGGCTTTGACCGTGGGCCTCTCCCTAATGCCAGTTCTTTAGTTCACCCCGACCTGGGCAGGACCCCAGCTCAAGGTGGCCCAAGTGCAGTTTAGTAGGAATTAGGGAGGCGTCCGAGCCTCCCACCACAAGGCAGTTAGGAAGCTTCTGAGGAGACAGGAACTGAGAGATGAGCTGCAGGCTCCCCGCTCGCCCAGGATGTCTCGAGGCCGGTCCAGAGCGGGAGCAGCGCCCCCACCTCTCCCGGAAGGACGCCCGGGCGCAGTCCCCAGTGACCACAGGCCGGGTGCTGAAAGCACGCCTCGAAGGCGACGGCCAAGCTCTCACTAAGGCCCCTGCCACCTTCCAGCTCGAGGGGCTTCCGGACTCACCTTCCACTGGGACCCACACATGAAATGCTGGTCACCTGTGAGACAGAGCCTCCGTCTGCTTAGCCGCGCCCAGCCCCCCACCCCGGGGAGTCGTTCTTTGGGGAGAGGGGAGGTCCTTTGCGGTCTCCCCGCCTGGTCTTTGCGGAGGAGAGTCAGGGTTATCCATCACCTGATTGATTGGCTGTCTAGTTATCCAAAACATGACCTTAAGAATAAAATCAAATTCGCCATTTATCATCTCTGCCAGGATATATTAGTAAGAGAGAGGCGGCTTTGTGATCTGTCACATCGGCGGGGGCTGAGGGCAGGGCAGGGACTCTGTGCCGCGGGCCATCCTGGCCCCAGAGAGCGGGCTGCGTGAGGATGAGGCCAACGAACCGTCGGGCGGCGGAAAGGGGCCCTCGGTATGGAGCGGCGGCCGGCTCCCTCCCCGAGTCCCGCTGTGCTGCACTCGGTGCAGCCGGCAATGCCTGGACTTGAACTGCAGGGAGAGAAGTTTCGAGGATTTCAGTAACTTGAGGCGGTTGCTGGGCTTCACGCACCACGGGACAGTGAGGGCGCACGGCACAGGCACCTGCCTTCCCCACGTCTGTCCCCACAGTACCTGCCCCGGGTCCCAGAACAGGCGCTCGGCGGGGGTCAGGTTCGGCGCCGCGGGCTTGATTCCAAGGAAACACCAGTCACGCCCACAGCACCAAACCTGAACCCCAAAGGCCTCAACTGGGAACTCGGAGCTCGACTCCATTGTCTTCCTCAGAGAGACGGCACAGCGCTACTGAGCGCCGGTGTCCGGAGGCCGCCGACACAGGGCGGGGTCCTGCGCTGCCACGTCCGCGCACGCACAGCGCACGCACAGGTGAGCGGCGGTCCTGCCCGCTCAGGGCTGCTCTTGCTTTCTGCCCACAGCTTGGCTCCTGGGGACCCTCCTAGCAGCAAGGATGACACATCCCACAGACCTTTCGGTGACAACAGACAGCTGTTTCCACGTCCCAAACCCCCAAACGCACACACACCATGCTGCCCGCGTTTTCTGTTGCTTAAATTCAACGGACCCCGAGCCTCATTAAGACGCTCAGAGCTTGCAGCTGGCCTCCCCGCACCCAGGCGAGGACCCGCCTCCCCAGCGCCGCCGACCAGGCCCGTCCCAGGGGCCTGGGTGACATCTCCTCTCACAAGTGCCTGAGGTGTCACTTCTTTCTGAATCTTTGCCAACACAGACCCCCCTGAGCACTGATGAGAGCTGGGAGTCCTCTTGCGCAGAGAAATTAAGTATGCACGTACACATAGACCTTTCACACCAACGTCAGGGACCTGGAAGGACCTCCGGGATGTATCCCTCAACTTCTCCAGATGGTAGATCCCTAGCCGTCCTTCAGAACCCACGTCAGACGTCTCCTGCTTGGCAAGGTCTCCTCCCAGCCATGTCCTCTGTCCCCTGTCCCCTGGAATGACTGGCTGCCTGACCTGAGCTTCCACAGCACGCCATGTCCACACCTGCCTCAGCCCCTGTGGCACCCACGCTGGGTGCGTGTTTACGCTGTCCCCTCCGCCCGGCTGCGAGGGCCTCCCGTGTTGATCGCTGCTGCCCTGGCCCCCAGCCCGGGCCTGGCGGGAAGGTGAGTGCAGCTTTAGAAAGGCGCTTCCCTGAGCAGACCCCTGTCCCCGGCGATTAGAAGTGATGGGTAGCATGTGCTCGTCCCTTCAGCAAACACTGGCTTAATTTCCTTTATCAATTTAAAGACAAAGAGTAATCACAGGGCTAACCGGATTTTCCACATTTGCTTTCCTGAAAGCGCCACAGATCTCTGCCCGGCAACAGCAGCAAGTGTCGTTTTTTTTCCAATTTCCCCAACCCAAGGAAGGATACAAACACAGCGTTATTTCGAGAAGGAAGAGGCATGACAATGGCCCTGGATTGCGGGGCCTGGTGTGCAGGTCTGATGCTCAGCGGGAGCACTGGTTGTAAAATGAGAAACAACCCAAAGAAGAAGTACTTTTCCTTGCTGTGCCAAGACAAAAACCTAGAAGTTTAGCTAAGGGCCGAGTTCCCAGGCTCCAAAAGGAGCGGCACCCTAAGCTGTTCATGCCTAGAAAGGCGTACGGCCAGGGCTAGCAAGGAGGCCGAGGAGCTCACGGGACCCCCGCTGGACGGGCTGGACCCACTGCTGCTGCAGTGGGGCTGACGTCTGACCCGCAGGGCTGCAGCAAGGAGGCCGTTCCCTGCGGCCACCGAGAGGGGGTGCTGAGGTCCTGGCTAGGGTGGGATGCGTGCGCAGTGTCACCAAAGGTCAGTAAACGCACAGGTGCAGCCAGTGCAGCCAGACACGGGCCCACGCAACACACGCCCCAGAAATACCGTGTTCCCTCTCATTAGTGAGTGGCATTTACCTTGAGCATCCGGACCAGGCACCACGGGCCCCGAAAGCTGTTGCGGACTTTCCGAATCTCGCTCCTGGCCCCACAGCTAACGGGCTCGGGCTCGGGCGTGGGCGTGAGGCTGCTGTCCGCCTGCAGCCCAGCCTCACTCTGGAGCAGCTCCAAGTCCTGGCTTACGTCGGGGAGAAAAGTTCACCAGGAAAGGAAGCCACCGAGTACCGTGTCCTCAGGGCTCCCTGGGCAGGCCAGGGAACCGGGTCCTGGTGGCTGTTGACATCAGGGAGCCCCGAGAAGGCACTGGCCGCTGGGGAAGGCCTGGTTGCCTCGGCTCCAGCCCAGCCCCAGTCCTCCGCTGAGTCTTCTACTCGGCTATCACGGGAGCTCTCGAGGTGCAGGAAACTGCCTCCCACGGCGGGTCTGGCTGCACCGGCCACGGCTGCGTGGAACTAGGTTCGATCACAGGAGGCGCACTTGAGCACCGTGTAACAGGCCAGAAGGAAGGCGCGAGCGCATGGGCCCCACCCGCGCATGGCCCGTCCTCCCCCTGACCCGACCCCCGACACGCTCTGTGTCCCAGAAGATCACAGCCTCGCGGGAGGGCGAGCGGTCCAGCCAGCCCCCTCTGCTCCACTGGGCGTATCACGCACGCTCAAAGTGCCACATGCAAGCTGCCCTTCACTGTGCACAGGCAGTGAAGGAGCCCCCGCTCCCGCGGGCACACCAAGCAGCAAGACTGCCTGCACTTCCTGCCCTTAGGGCCTCCACCAGGGGGCAGGCATGAGAAGACAAAAGGGCTGAGGCGGGCAAGTGCTGGCTGGCTGTTAACCACTTGGGGAGTCTTGGCCAGGAAGACGCTGCCCAGGGCGCGACATGCCGCAGGGCTCCGTGAGCATGGGGGTGGGAGGGGGAGGGACCGATGCACCAGTTTCACAAGGGGTCAGCGCTGGGATGTGAACTACCTGCTCTCATGCTCCGGCGTAATGTTACCAATGGAGAGACCCCTGTGAACCACCTTGAATGGTCTGGTTGGTTTGCCCCCCAGCATCCTCGGGAACAAGGTATTTAAAACACCCAAGGCCAATCATAGAGTTTCTAGAAGAAAGTGTAGGGTCTCCTGACGGGGGATCGGGAATGCCACCATTGGGGGTACGTAAGATCCCACGGCTCAAAAGTGCATTTGGGAGACTTCACATTTTCCCTGTGTACATTTTCCAAAGAACTTCATTAATCAAAAAGTAAGAAAATTTTCTTTATAGGCTATTTAATCACTACTCTCAATGAATATTTTATCTAAATTTAGGAGACAGGGTAGCTTCATTATTTATAACCCAGTAGTCATGTTTCAAAATCATTATTGCAATTACTTTTTGCTTCTTTACATAATTAAAGCTCTAATATTCCATCTTGCCCAGAAGGTCACTGTTACTAAAACTCCAGACGAGATAATTGCTGGAATTTTAGGTGGGTGCGGAGGTGAGGCAGGACCTGGTGATCATCCAGGTTGGAGCTCACCAGGCAGAGGCCTGCAGGCGACACTGGGCTCTGCATCCAGGGGCGGCAGCCGGGTGCCCCGCAGGCTGTCCTCGTGAACACCAAGGCCAGCCCCGGAGGGGTTTGCGAAGGTGGAAAGGAAGGGGCCCAGGGACTGGAAGGCAGCCTGGCGCACCTGAAACCAGAGAGGACAGCGGTTAGACGTGGCCTGGGCCCGGTCTGACCCCAGGCTGCACGGGCGTCGATCACCAGGCCATGCACTGCCCCCCGAAGCATGTCTAAGCAGATTTACTGCCTTCCAAGGCACTCCCTAAATTCCAAGTAAACTATTTTTTCAACAGAAAATAAGGAGAAATTTAGCACTATCTTGTAGTTTTCAGTCTTTCAGAATATTAATTCCACATCAAGTAATTCCAGACTCTATAAAGCACCTGAATGGATTGTCTTAAATACCACAGCATATTTGTGATCAGAACAGGAAAGGTAACGAGCCACAGCTGTCTCCTCCGCCTCATCCCCACACCTGTGAGATTCGCTCACTGTAAACATTACGGCAAGTGCCACTTTCTTAAAGTCGCCAAAGCTGCTGGGACGCTGAGACTGCAGTGCCCTAACCCTCACAAGGTCTAGAGGTGGCTGTCAGTGACGGAAAAGACAAAAGCACACAGTCCCAAGTCGAGGCCAGGACGCGGCCCGTGCTCACCCATCGGCAGGAGTTGCTGACCAGCCGGGTGAAGAGCGGGGACAGCTGGTTCTGCGGACCTCGGGGGGCGCGCTGTGGGACACGGCCAGGGAGCACGCCTCGCAGGCTTCCACGTGCCCCAGACGGGATCCGAGCAAAGCCCAGGGAGCCTGGGGACCTACCAAAGCAAATAAGATTGTGCTGCTCACATCGGGGCACCCCAAGGAAGGGCAGACCCTATTTTAATGGTGCAGTTAGGGCATCTCTATCAATTAATGGCAAAGAAAGGGAAATATATGATCGTCTAAAACGAATCACTTGAAGCCAACAGAAATTATGACAAGCAGAATAAAGCAACTTTTCCTTCACTTCATAATTCCAGTCAAAGAGGTGGTTAAACTTAGCAAAGCAATAGAGAAAATAAATCCCAAAAGGCCGGATGTCTGGTGTCCGCTATGCGATCACAGAGAAGTGTCGGGAACGGCTCTGAAGGTGAGCGGCTGCCCCCCAAGCTCGTCCGTCCAGGTGCCGTGGCCTTTGACGGGGGGGGTTTCGTGACGGGAGCTAAATCGTAAAAACTGACAGCGATGCAAATGCTTTCTGTCCACAGGACTATGTTTATCATCACCCTGGACACGACCAGCTTCGAATCCGTTTGTAAGTAAGGTCACTGCAGGGTTCTTTGGTCCGACCATGTGCAGAGCTTTGGCGCCTCCGTTAAACCAGGTCTTGTGTCTACGGGGTCCTTCATTAATAAATGAGTTAAATAAAACTGCTGACACATCTTCATTCTCTATCTGCATAAAGGTCTTTTAAAATTCATCCTTTAAAAATGAGGCTTCGTTTTTAATATTCTAATGTAAAATAAACAGCCAAAAAGCTCCACAAATAGGACTCTACAAGCAAGGAAATACCCACATCAAGCGAGGCGAGCATGCTGGTCCCTGCGGGTCCTCAAGCAGGTGCTCTCCGTACCAGGTGACACTCACGGCACACCAGAGTGACGCCCTACGGAAAATTCCTTTGGGGTTAGGACTATGTGGACATGGCTTATACTTCAAAAGCATCAAATGAGCTTCTGGACATAAATTTTAAAATCCCTTTAAAGATGACACTTTCTGAGGCCAGGTTCCAACCCCTCAGGTCGCAGGGCCTGTCCAATAAGGCGGCAGGTGCGTGCTGAGCATCGCTCTCCTGGCGCCAGGGCCTCGCAGGCCTGGGAAGGAAAGAAAGGCGAGCACGATGGCGTGCAGAGCCTGCGTCAGCCACGCTCGAGTGCGTGTGGCAGGGACGCCCGAGTCTGACCCAACGGTAGCGGCAGTGCCGAGAAGTGGGGGATGAGTTCTCTCTGACCCAGTGGCAGGGGTTGGGGGTGAGCCCAGGCAAGGAAAGGGCCGAGTCAGACACATGCACATTTGAGCTGGGTCTGAAGTGGAAGAAGGGTCCCACCAGGGAGGGACGATGCTGGAAGAGGGGCAGCAACGAGCAGAACAGTTAGCAGCTGGCTCATAAAGTGGCTTCTACCCTGCTCTGTCTCAGAATCCTGAGGGAATTTATCAAAAAGACCCCTGGGCTCTACCGCCTCCTGCCCTCCCCGTGTCTCAGATGCATGGCCGCAGGGCACCTGCACTCAGGCCAGGGTAGTGGCCAGACCTGAGGGGGGCGCCTGGAGGCGAGCTCGGGGAGCTCCCGGTGCAGGGCCTGAAAGGGCAAGAGGGGTCTGGACGCTACCCTGGAAACCAAGAGCAGATCCCACAGGCTTCGAGGCCCAGGACTGGGGTGGGGGAGGGGGAATAGACAGAGTGGGGGGCAGTGACCAGCAGGGAGGTGACACAGGAGGCTGCGGGAAGGAGGACCAGGCTGCCCCCATGGCCCCATGGCCCGGCCACCCCACACTCAGGGAGAGGCATGTGCTCCAGAAGCCAAGCAACTTGAAACCGATGGATGCAGAACCGAGCTGCTATTCCAGAGCAGCGGACGCGGCGGCGCAGACCCGTACAGCTGGCTTTAAAAGCGCCCTAACTAGTGCAGCAGCGATTACAATGGGCAAAACCTCATGCACCAAAAATTGCTCAGTGGCCTCCTGTCCAACGGCATGACAAGTATCACCACAATTTGTAGCACACACCTTAACAAGGCAAAAGGCATAGCCATTATTCTCCTTTTTCTTTGGGTCTTAACGAATCGTGATGGCTAACGAGCGGGAACCTGGAGAGCGATCTCGCCTCCCGCCAGGCAGCCAACAAGCACTCGCTGAGCCCATCGCCCACACGGGCCACCCAGGTGCCTCCGACGTGCTAGAAGCAGAAGATTTACAATGGAGCACTGAATTCTAGGACTTTCTGCCTCCTAATTGATCTCAATACATAATGTATTTGGTTAGTGATAGAGCAAAAGAGACCCTTAACAGTCTCCACAAAGTAAGTGAGACCTGTCTTCGCGCCGATTAGTCACGCAGAGAGACCAGGAGGGAGATGAGGCGCTCCGGGGAGGGGCAGCACCGGCCTTCAAAAGGGAAAACTTGACAACCACATGACAAGCGACCCAAAGGGGAGAGGGCAAGGGAGGAGTTGCAAGGGACGCAAATCACCCCAGAAAATGAAAAGAAGGCTTTGCTCGCAGGGGCAAGGGCACTCCGTCACTATAGCAAGGTCCCCGAGCCTGGCCCCTGCACCCGAGAACAGCAGGCTGGCTCAGCAGCAGGGTGCAACACATGCCCTGCCTGCTGCAAACTCCGTGGTGCCCACTGGCCCCGCTCCCCTTCCGGACTGTGGCTGCGGAGGACGTCCGGGGACGGGGCAGGCATCGATTCTTAATTGTTTAATGTTTTGAGTTGCGGGGGAGGGGGTTAAAACCGTATGTGCCCACCTTCCAAACCTCAAAGAGCTTCCTGTCACCGCACAGCTCGCAGAACCGAGGGAGTAGCAGGTGCTCGACGGTGCTCCTGCTCAGCACTGACGCCGCTTTGCAGGTGACCTGTGGAGAAGAAGACAACCGGAGTCGCCGGGACGCCAGAGCCTATGTGCCACCACATCAGCACCTGAGCTCCCCAAGCTAACATTCAAAACACTGCCAAAATGCCCGAGAAGGAAAAACAAAGAGCGTCAGGAGTGTTGTCAAGCTCTATGTCCAACAAAAGGCCACATGTTTCTCAAGCTGAACTCTGAGAAGGGTTTGTCTGAAGCTCACGGGTTGCCGTTGGCCAGGTACCCGCTGCATGGCCACACACGAATGAACGGTTTATGGGCACTAACTTGTTTTCCTTCCCCAAACCCTATGACGAGGGTATTATTTATCCTCATTCTTCCAGATGAGCGAACTAACACTCAGACAGGCGAAGTAAGTTACGTGACCCAAACTGAACAGTGGGGAGGCGGACGCACAGTGGTGGCTGGACACGCATCGACAGGGCACCGGAGGGCAGGCACTCCGGGAGCCAGGGCCTTGCCAGGAGGGAACCGCGCTGTGTAAGGCAGGCATTGCTGTGGCTTTTTGGCCCGGGGCACCCCCATTCTGCGTGGCTACGCAGACCTCAAGCAAAAGCTACGGCATTACTGGTTTAAGAAGTCAGAGAACAGAGACGGAAGTTGCCAAAGTAGCTGGCAGGTGAGGGCAGAAGTCCTGGGAAGGAAGGAAGGAGGGAGCAGAGAGAGGGAGAGCCCGCGAATCTGTGATGAGGTCCGCCCTACTCTGTGCTTGCGCGGGGAGGCGGTGCGGGTCGGAGGAAAGCGGCGGCTTGGGGGCAGCAGGGCCTGCGCTGTGTGCCAGGGCCGGCCGGCGTCCTACGTGGGGACTAACGGGACCCAGAGCCCCTGCGGGGCTCCGTCGAGAAGATGCTCCAGACGATAAAGAATTCGCAGACACGAGGAGCGATGGGAAAATGTGACCGATATGCAAGATCTATATCAGCGAGTAGAAATAAACCCAAGGAAGACCCAGATGTGAGAACCGGCTAACTTGACAAGGGCTTTAAAGCAGCTACTGTAAACATGCACAGGGACTAACGTGAACATAGGGCCACACCAAATGGACAGAGAGGAAACCTCATCAAAGAAATGGAAACTGTGAAAAAGAATCAGAACTTCTGGCAAGAACATGGCAGCTTGGTCAGACCGACCGCTTGTGTAGAGAATGCTTATGGAATCTTTATGAAAAACCATAAAAACACAATCGCTGGAGAGCAACTGAAGGCGGGACACGGAGGGGGGAGGCTGGCCTTAGTAGACAGGCTGCAACGGGGGCCGACTGCGGGTGAGCCCTGCGGCGGACCACCCCGCGGGCCTGGCAGAAGAGCGGCAGCAGCAACCAGCGCACCGAGTAGAGAGTGTGGGCCGCTCAGCCCGCCGCCGAGGAGACCGTGGGAGCTGGAGGTCAGGCAAGGCAACTGCCTGCTATGTGTTTAAAAACAACAACAAAAAACCCCACCTTAGAGAAATAACTTGCAACCCAGAGTCTCTGCAGTGCATCGTGTATAATGTTTAGTGTTCAATTTAAAATAACTACCGATGTGCTGAGAGCAAAAACTGATCCCTAATTTTTAAAAAATAAAAAAGCAAGTCATGGGAATCAACACCAACCTGATCCAAATGTCGCAACGATCAGGCAAGGGTTTTAAAAGGAGCCATTACAAACAGAGTCAAAGATTAAAAGTAACGTATGTGTATAAAGAAGAACACATAGGGAACCTCTATATCCCAGAGAATTAGAAACTATAAAAAAGGTCAAAATGGAAATTCTACAGATGAAAATTACGATAACTGAAATAAAAGAAATTTAATCAATGGGCCTAACAATAGACTGGAGATGATAAAAACTTAAAAATGAACTTAAAAATAAGTTAACAAAAATGATGAAATTGGAACATCAGAGAGAAAAACGACAGTGAAAAAAACAAAACCTCAAAGACCTGTAGGATGATAACAAGCATCCAAACCATGTATAATCTAAGCCCCAGGCTGCAAGGAGAAAGAGAAAAAGGCACAGGAAAAATGGACTTGAAGAAGCAACAGCCAAAAACTTCTCCCCAGATGAGGGGAAGGCATCAGCACACAAGTCCAAGGAGTTCAGTGAACACAGCAGGACAAGCATTCGCTCTGCAAAGAGAGAGAGAGACGTCTCAAGAGCAAAAGGATGCTTTATATATAGGTGTAGTGTGAGCGACAGCGGACTTCTCCGGAGACAACAGCAAACCTCTAAAGTGCTGCAAGAAAACACAAAAACAAACCTGTCAACCCATAATTCTATCTCCAGTACAACCGTCTTTCAAAAATAAAGGCAAAATAAAGACATATTCAGATGAAGACAGAGACCTTTTCACCAGCCAACCCAACTTTAAAATGTAGTACTGACCAGTGTGGCTCAGCAGGTTGGGTGTCGTCCCGCAAAGCGAAAGGTCGCCGGTTCAATTCACAGTCAGGGCACAGGCCTGGGTTGCGCATTTGGTCCCCAATCAGGGCGCGAATAAGAGGCAGCCAATCGATGTTTCTCTCCCTCTCTTTCTCCCTCCCTTCTCCTCTCTCTAAAAATAAATAAATAAAATCTTTTTTTTAAAAAAGGTCTTTAGGCTGAAGAAAAATGAGACCTGATGGAAACTCAGATCTAGGAAAGGAAGAAGGTGCACAAAATGGTAAAAATGTGAGTATAAGAGGCTATACATCTTTCTTTTTTTTTGGTAATTTCTTTAAAAGATACCATTGCTTCAGTCAGAAATCAGGACACCGCGGTATCAGGCCCCTGACGTAACCGGTGGGTGAGAGCAACAGCACAGCGCAGAGGCCGCGAGTGGAGACACCGTGTTACGAGGGGCTGTGCTTCCTGAAGACCCTCAGCAGGGGAACCAAGGGCAGCGCTACGAAGCGCTCAGCCAGCCCAAACGAAGGCAGGACAGAATTACCGGAAGAACAAAAGCACGGGAGACAAATGGAGATAAATAACAAAATGGCAGCATTAAATCCAAAATACTCAATAACTGCATGAAATATAAGTGGACGAAACACTCCATTGAAAAGGCAGAACCTGTCAGACTGAACATAAAAGCGAGACCCAGCTCTGTGCTCCGTGACGCAGAGCAGGACTCTGCGAAGCTGAAACACTCAGGGCTGGGAGCGAAAGCACGCACACAGCAGCACACAGGAAGCGCAGGGCCGCGGCAGGGCCGCAGCGGCACCACGCAGACCACCAGCCACCGGTTCCGACCGGCGGGCCCTGGGAAGGCCTGTCTCAATTAAAGGGCCAATCCATCACAAAGCTATGAACACTAAATGTGTAGCTTTAAATGCTTAAAATGGAAAAGGCAGGCGTAAAAAATGCTGTTCTCTTCTTAAGAAACTAGAAAAATGCAGGCAAACTGGACTCAAGTAATTAGAAGGAAGGAAATAATAAACAGCAGAAGTCAACTGAAAAGAAAATAAGCAATAAAGAAATTGACAAAGCCAAAAATTGGTTCTTTGAAAATATTAATAAAATTGACAAGTCCCAAGCAAGACTGATCAAGAAAGGAAAAAGTTATCGATCTCATAAATGAAAGAAATTACACTACAGATCTTACAGGCATTAGAGAGATGAGGGCATATTGTAAACAACTTTATCCCAACGTATTTAACATCTTACATAAAATTAAATGCTCCCTAAAATACACAACTTACCCAGTGACACAGATGATGTAACAAATCTCCATAGTCCCACTCAATGAACTGAATCTGTTATCAAAAACCATCTCACAAAGAAAACCCTAGGACCACAGGTTTGTACCTGTGAGTTCTAACAAATATTTAAGGGGAAAAAATACCACCAATTTTAAACAATATCCTTTAGAAAATGGAAGAACCGGGAATACTTCCCACCTCAATTTTTGAGGCCACAATAACCCTGACTCTAAAGCCCGACAAAAACATAATCGGAAAAGAAAATTGCCTACACTGGTCCTCGAATAGAGATGCGGGAGCCCCCCGCACAACGCGCGCAGCAGGGCGGGGAGTGCTCTCCGCAGGGCAGCGCCGGCTGGGGTCGCCGGTGGAGGCCAGCACTAGGGGGTGAAAGCCGGTGAGAAATAGACTTACAAGGTGCAAAGTGGCTCCCCTCATTACTTCTGGAGGGTTCGGAAGGCAGCACATGGAGAAACTTGGTGGACGCCACCTCTGTCTGCTAAGTGACTGGGATATCAGGGCACTTATATCCCCACATCGGGGCAGCTGAAGCCTTGGGCCCCCAAACACGGCTCATGCAAAGGCTTCCAGGATGTCCAGCCAGAAGTGCAGGGCCTGAGGCTCCTCATGAGGACACGCCGCCCACGCCCGCACCGGGAGCCGCCTGCCGTGGGGCTGGCCTGCGCTCATCCCCCATGCCGAGGGTCTGGACTCAGAGAGGCCCGGGATCTGCTCCAGGTTAAAGGAGACCGAAGAAACAGGGCAGTGCAGTGCCCTGTGGGGTCCTGGACTGGGTCCTGGACGCATGACAGCATTTGAACATGAACTCTCCTGATTCTGAGCAACATACTGTGATTGTCTAAGAGAATTCGCTTGTTTTTAAGGAGTACGCACTGAAGCCCATATTTAGGAGTAAAGGGGCACAGTGTCTCCAGTTTACTCTCAAATGGCTCAGAAAAATATACACACATGTGTATGTCTATTTCCACATCTGCATATACTGTGGGTGCACGTGGGCGTGTGTGTGAAGAGAACGAGAACAAGATAAACAAACGGTGCCGAACGCAAACTGTGGAGAAGCTGGATGCAGGGTATACAGGAATTCATTCCTGCAACTTTTCTACAAGTCTGAAATGAAAACAAAGTGAAAAATCCCCTCCCTCAATTTCTAAGAACTCTCCCACTTCCCCAAGAAAAAGAAAAAGGAAAAAAGGGGGAAGGAAGGAAGGAAGGAATAGAGAGGAGAGGGAGCGGGGGAGGAAGGGCCAGGGAGGACCTCCTGTCCCAGACGTCTGCTCTCTCGCTGCCCTTTCACAGCAGAAAAGAACCCTGGGTTGGCAGCCAACCCACCAGTCAACGGAGCTGGAATCTGCACACAGCAGACAGGAGGGCAAGCGGCACAGGGGAAACTGTCCCCGTGACACGAGTGAGGAGACTGGGCCCTGATCAGACGCCCGGTGGACGGGCAGAGAGTGGCAGCCAGAGCAGGTACGGACTCCGCGCTTCTGCCTGCAGGGTGACGGGCCACTGAAGGGCGCCCCCTGTCTCGACCACCCCACCCACCTGCCACGCCACCCCGACCTCTCTGCCGCCTGTGTAAAACAGATCCCGAATCACCAACAGCCAGCACGCCAAGCGACAAGAAAAGATATTCCTGTGGCCCTGGGAACCACTTGCATGGAATGGCAAGCTTCACTTAGTCGCTTGGAGCCAACTACTCCTTACGGCACATAGCCACAACATTCTTTTTAAGTAAATGCACAAATAAAAATGGGCTTAAAAATAGGAACGATGGCAAAAAGTGAGGAAGCCTTAATGTGAAAATGTGTTGGGAGAGAAAAATGGGCTTCTGACGATTAGTTATAATCTCAGAACACTAATGGCCTTCCTGCAAGCACGAGGAATTACAATTGGTCTCCAGCAACCTGCGTGTGCCGTCTAGATGTAATTACAGGATGCAGCGCTTCCAGTCTTCAGCGACTCCTTCGTTCAGCAACGAACATGTATTAGTGCTGACTCTGGGCCCAGCACCAGACTTGGTCCCGATGGGGGAACGACACCGTGTTTAAGGAGCTCACCATTTGGAAGGAGAAATAAGCAAACAGGTGAAGTTCACAATTCAGTGGCTCGATAAGAGTAGACAGAGACAACCCAAGCTTTCCGAACGCGGGAATGAGGGCGTCGGTGCCAGGGGTCGGCACAGCTAGCGAGGCTTCAGGAAACGTGCACACATGGCAGGAACCCACCTGCAATTTGTGCTGCGTCACTCAACTTAGGGGCGTGCAGGATGTGCCTAGTTGGCCGTCTCCGGTTCTCCTAGTCACGTGTGCGCAAGGACCGGGGCCTGAGAACCCGCGGCTGCGGCTTCCGAGGGGAACGAAAAGTCCAACGGGCAGGCAGACACACGCGCTAAGGGGGCCTGACATTTCCAGGGAGCGGGAAGCACCTCCTCAGAAACAGCATGGTCCCGAGCGTGTGCAGGCATACACAGACGCAGCGAGCCTCACGCCACGCAGTGCAGAGAGAGCCCCGACACACCGGGGCGTCGGAGCGGCCCCGCCTGCTTCCCCACGCACACCCCGCCTCCACAGGAGCACACGTCGCAGCCTGCGCTGGGGGCTCACTGGGGATCGCGACGTGGGAGCCCTGCCCTCCTGGGGGCTCTGTGACCGCACGCGGCTGACTTTTCCTTGAGGAATGAAGTCTGCCCTCCACCCGACCGTCCAAAGCTTGGACACACTTTTGTTTTCAATTGTGTCCTTTCCTAACTAAAAAGAAACCGTGCCCAAATGTGCTGCATGACTGGGGGCCGGCGGGAGGAGTCCCCCCAAGGCCAGGGGCCTCGGCGCTCCAGGGAAGGGGGTCAGACAGTTTCTGGACGTGACCAACGCAGGCACGGGCCAGGCCCGAACCCCCAGGGCTGCATGGGGAGCCCAGCTCAGCCCCTCTAGCCGCCCCAAACCACAGGTGCGCCTGCCTGCAGGGGTGGGGCGTCACGGCCGCGGCTGCTCTGCAGCCGCACCTGAGAGCTTACGTGTGCCAATAATGGTATTGGCAACTCGGCTGGAATGAAAAATACAGTTTATGTGAACTAATTTGTTCTGCAAGTGATTTGTGGCGATAGCTTTTTGAAGGCTTGCTATATTTTCCAAATATTTTTACCACGAAAAAAAACAGAAGAAGAACAATATTGCTGACAAGAATGGAGTGGTTGGAAACAAAACAAAATAAAAATCATGCAAAAATGCCTTTAGCATTATTTTTCATGGTTTATCAGTCTTTAGGGATAAGACATTTGGTTGTCAGTCGTAGCCTTGGAAGCTCGCCTAACCAACTTTCAAACAAAAAAGAAGACCAAGTTGGCCAAGTTCACTGCTCAGCTGCCAAATACCCCAACTAAATGATATTATCCAGGCTTGTTTCACACAATAAATTCAATTTCTTAAGAGAGAAACTTGAAATTTATAAGAGAACCCTGGAGAATTTGAATTTTAATAATCAATTATTCTTCAGCCTGATTCATCTTATAAACATATGGGATATGGAAAATATTAAATTAAGTTTAAAAAGCCAGACCTCTAACTCATAGCTGAGGAAAACTTTTACATAAATGAAGAATAATTGCCAAATGTTCTGATGCTGTAATATAATTTTTTGGTCGCATGGTGTATAATGTTTCCACACTTTGAAAAAGAAAAGAATTCCTTTCTCTAACATCACTGTTTCCCAGCCGAGAACATAGCTCTCTCCTATGAGGGCTGTGCACACAGCTGAGGCTTCGGCTCTTTGCGCCCTGAGCCGGGACGCCGCCCAACGTGCTGGAAGGGTCCTGGAACTTCTCCCTCCTGAGGCAGGAACAGGCAGCCCGCGTGGGGCAGTGCTTCCTGAGTGGCTCAAGACACAGCAGTGGGGACGCAGCAAACAAGGTGGCCCTGGGTGACCTGCCCTCTGGCCCCAGAGCAGCGGGCCCGAGGACAGGCTGGGGAGGCCTGGTCTCGCGCGGCCCGCGACAGCCAGCGTGTGAACAGGACCCCAGAAGCCAGCAGAAAGCTCCTTGTGACACGATCGCGTCACAGCACACAGCCTTACAGACCCAAGGACACCACCAAATTAATTGTTCAAAGCAGAAGACATTTGGTGTTTAGACTATTCCTTTAATTGTACATGGTTAGCTGATACCAGCACAAATACTTTAACATAGCATTTCCCAAACTGCTGTAAAAACGGTGGCCACCCCTGTGTTCCTCGGAGCGCTGCTTTCTTACTTGCTGACACGTTTATGTCAGCCTTGTCATAATCGACACGACAGACACACGTCTGCCAGATTTTTGTTGTCCTAGCACCACCTAAAGCCATCGCCCCTCACACCGGGCGACTTCCTTTGGGAAACAACGTCCGTGGTCCAAGCGGGTTCAAGGATTCACCTACACACCTCGGCATCTTGCCCAGCTGTCTCAGCTCTGCCCGAGCCACTCACGCCCCATGCTTTGCCTTCCTAAAGCGATCGGTGACAAAGGACAGATCCTCTCAAATGTGCTTGGGTCTGCACTGTAGACCTCCTCCTAGGGAGGCCAAGCCATCAGCAGCCTGTTGATGAGAGCAGGGCTGGCCAACAGCGGACAGGTGACACTTAAGCCACGCCCATGCCCACGCCCACCCCTGGCCAGGGGACAGCCCACTAAGGCGCGGAAGCTCACAGCCCCCAGCCCCCGCCTTGTGCTCGTTGCCGCTGTCCGGGGCAGAGCGCGCCAGCAGGGTCGGGCACACTTTGTTCTCAATGTCGTGTTGGAAAATCAGGTCCTGCTCCAGAAGAGCAGGGTGGAAGCAAAATAGCACAATGTTAGCACTTGTCGAATAAGAACAGTGGGTATATGAGTGTTTATTATAGAATACTCTCATGTAATTCAAATATTTCATGGTATTTTAGAAAATGAAACTATTTTGGAAAAAAAAAACCCAGAAACATCGGATTCACAATGGAGCAGCTGAGTCTGCAGCTCTCGGGAGCATCGGCGCAGAGCGGCGAGCTGAGGCCCCACTGGGAGCCCGCTCGGGGTCGGCGCTGCGGGGGCCCCTCGTCCCAGAAGCTTGCAATGGGGAAAGGAGTGACGGTGTGTTCAGGGTCAAGGCCAGGGGACAAAAAGATGAGGGAGGCTCAGGCATGATTACAATCGAAAAAGAAAAGCCAATGAGAGGACCTGGAAAAATAAGCACAATTACGAGGCTAAAGATGGAACCGAAGAGGGAAATGAAGGTGTCAGGCTCGAGAAGGGGATGGGACATCCATCCCCGAGACGCAAGGCGAGCAGCTCACGAGAGCTGAGGAAATGCGGGGCGTTCACAGCTGGTCCTGTTCTACGGATCTTTACTGAAAGTACCACCCAGGTACCAGACCCTGTGCTAGGTCCCCGAGGTAAGTCAGACCCGGTCCGTCCCGTCCCGTCCAGGGCTCGGAGTCTGGAATGGGGGAGGAAGGATCGGCTGCGGTACCCAGCAGAGCCCAGGCCGTCCTGAAACACGCGACAGACGGGCCTGGTGAGACTGGCCCGACACCCCGGGCTCCTTCTCCTGCTCCCTGGCCCCGACCCAGGTGCCACACCCCTCTGCACCTCAGGTTCCTCACCTCTCAAGCAAGGATGAGTTAACAAGGGAGCCCGTGCTTCCCAGGGAGGCTCAGGAGAGGGAACGAGACAGTCCTGGCTAACGCGGGAGCGTGCGTGCTGCGTCCCCATGAGAGCTCCAGTATGGCATCTCTTCAGTAGCAGCCGTCACGGCAATAATATAAATAATATGCCCAATTTTGTTAATTTCATAGCTTACATGAGTCACTGCATGTTCAATGGCCATGAAAAGTACCTGATGATAAATAGACAGGCTGGCCTGAGATGCAGAAGCTGGATGGGACCTGGAATGCCCACTCTCTCATGCGCAATACAAAGGGCATCTTGGCTGAAGTAAGAATCCTCACTCAGTGGGGGCCCTTGGCCCACGTTGGGGTATCTGGAAGGGCGGGCGTCTGCCGAAGGGAGGCAGAGGCTGATGGAAGTAGAGGGAGGGGCACTTGGCAGGACCGCAGAGAAGGAAAGGGATGGGCAGATGCCCGGCATCACCGCAGCTCAGGACAAGCAGCCCACAGAGGAGCGTGGCTGCGCCTGAGGGCATTACACAGTCTAAAGAACATTCAGTACGATGGCTTCCTCCCATTTCTGTGTGTGACGGTGACAGGGATGGGGAAGAGGGGGTGCTATTGCAGGGCTATGTCCTCGTCACTGGACAGAGGAGACGGTGTGGGTGTAAGCGGAGGCAGGCGCAGCGAGCCGAAGGGAGTCCCACGGCTGGGGCCTGGGGCTCCGGGGACCCGGGGGAGGACAGCGCTGGCCCCCTCACTGAGCCAGGTGGTGAGGATGGAAGGCTCTCTTTTCTCGGGGAGGTGAAAGGCAAGGTCGCCCATCTGGGGCGGGATGGCGCGAGGCAGGGCACGGCGCAGAGGCTGACTCGCAGCGGCCGAAGTCTGAGAGCGCTGCAAGGGTAACGGGAAAAGCAGCAGACGAGGGGCAGGGAAAAGGACTGCCGGGCAGCGCTGCAAGTCCGGCAGCCAAGGGCGCCCCTAAACCTGCAGCGGCAGCCATCGGTGCTGGGGGGACACCCGCCCTGTGCGGCACCCAGGGCTGGAGCAGGCCGGCGGGCGGGGCGGCCAGGGCAGGCAGGACCAGCCAGGCGGCGGGAGAGCTGTGGCAAAGACAGACAGTGGAGGGTGAAAGTTGGCACGGGCCTGAAAGGGTGGGGGACAGATAGCACTGAGGAAGAAGAGGGGTAAAGGCAGGAGGAGGAGGGGAGCAGGGGACCAGAGGCCACCGGGGCAGGGAGGGCAAGGTGGGGGGCTGGGAGAGGAGGGGCGCGCGAGCCATGGGGGGAGCCAAGTCCCCCTTTGGGACTTAGAGGAAAGGCAGAGACCGCAGGGGAGACAGCGGCCGGGAGCCCAGGTGGCAGGCCGTTGCTCCGGCCACGGACACGAGCCTTCAGGAAGCGCAGGCCAAGGGGTGGGTCCTGGGCAGGAGCCCGGCCTCCCGGAGCCCGGCACACGGCACAGGACTGAGCTTGTTAGGAAGAGTCAGACCCCCGACTCAGTGTAATGTCGCTTTCAAGAATGTATCTAGAAGAAAAAGAAAAGCCAACAGAAGGAGGAAGCTGCATCCTTCACAAAGCTCGCTGCCTCTATGGTACAAAAAAGCTGAGAGAAATCTCCATGTCCAACAGAATTAAAAAAATAAAGATTATGAAGTACAATGTCTAGGACACAGAGAGGGGCTTTCGGGGCAGAAAGGCGGTCCTCCTCATCGCTGTGTCCCCAGCATGAAGCATGGTGCCTGGCTCCTAGGGGCCCTCAGAACCTGTCTGAAGAAATGAATGAGTGGAAGAAACCATTGCATTATGGTTGGACCTATGCGGGGAAAGTGTAAGCACCTAGAGAAGAAAATGCAAAACTCATCAAAATACTGATGTGAGGAGAGTAGGAAGAGGATGAATTTCTTCCTTGGAAAGCAACGTTTCGCCCTGGCTGGTGTGGCTCAGGGGATTGAGCGCCAGCCTGCGAACTAAAGGGTCGTCTGTTTGATTCCCAGTCAGGGCACCTGCCTGGGCTGTGGGCCAGGTCCCCGGTAGGAGGTGCACGAGAGGCAACAAACCGCACATGGGTGTTTCTCTCCCTCTTTTTCTCCCTCCCTTCCCCACTCTAAAAATAAATAAAATCTTACAATAAAAAAACTACATTTAATCCTGTCACACTGTTCTACAGTTAAAAGTGAGTGTTTGCTCTTTTAGAAATGCTCGGATCAAGGAAGAAATACAAGCCCAAATTGTAGAATTTCTCGAAAATAAGAATAATGAAAACTTGGCATGTCATAAAAAATTACAAATACATTTAACCTTTGGGGAGATCCACCCGCAAAATAAACCGATACAGATAGAAATGATGCAAGGCTATTCGCTGCAACAATTTTAAAGTGGCAAATTGAGATAACCCAACTGTCTGTCAATAAACTATGGTCTAGATGGCTTGTGGAGTACTATACAGCTGTGAAAAAAAGGGAAAAGGAGGATTTCCCTGGACTGCTATAGACTTTCCCAGGCCACCCTAGACAGCAGGCACAGGAGCTACCTTGCATCTGAGAGGAACGAGAGGAGGCAGAATGCATGGACATGTGTGTGTCTGCTTAGAATCGTATGTGTATGTATGTATTTTTCAAAGGTGAGAGCAAACCATGGCCTAATCGGAACAGCTGACTGGGCAGCCCTCTAGAATCTGCAGGGGAGAGAGAGGCAGCAGGGCGGGTCAGGACGCAAGTCAGTTTTCCCTGAATGTACTTACTCTGTTTTACAGCTCTCCCTGTTGAATCATGTAAAAACATTTTAAATAATTATAACTCTAAATTAAATCAAAATGTAAAAGCTCAGGCAATTTCTACAAATAAAAATAAATGAAAACAAATGAGCCTAAATGCATATCAAGTTGTTAGCTTAACCACAAGGAGAAGGGTTAATGCAAGTGACTTGAAACCACAGTAATGGTCACGTGCCTGTGCATCTCTAGGAGCAGACAGCCTAAAAACAGCACAAAATTCCCACACTATATCCAGTAATTCTACCATACAGTGAGTAATAATGCCAGTGTTTGCCTTGTAGATACACACACGTGAACACCATTAAGAGGCAAGATTTGTGCTGTGTAAAATGTACACATGTAATCAAACAAGTAAAAGCCCTATAATCCTAAGTCTGGGCTGGAAATACCAATATGGCCTCAGGAGGAACTGCTCATTTTTTCAAGAAAATCGATTGCTCTGTCACTGGACGCAATGGCTATCCTCGGAGCAACGAGCGCCCCCCGTCCTCACATCCCGGCGCCCTGTTACCGTTCCCCTCTTCACCGACCCAGGGCTCCTCGGAGAGATGGCCGCTTTCAGATAGAGGGGAGCTACAGAAGTCTACCAGGTCCCATCAAGAAGATCCCAGAGCCAAATTAAAGGGGTCCTACTGGTCAAAGCTAGCATAATTGGATCATCGAAAAGAATGACTGCAATGGATGAAAACATCTAATAGGTTAAAATTCACAGGTTCATAACAATGCTCAAAATAAAAAAACTTTTAAAACCTAATCGGTAAACTTTGTAGATTATTAGGACACCAGCTAATTATTCTAGAAACTGGTAAACAAAGGGAAAAAATGAAGCACTTATCCTGTCGCGCACAAACAGCTTCTCAGGGCCGCCAGAGCCCAGGAAAGCTCTCGTAGAGGAATCCGGGCTCTGAGAAGGAGAAAGGACGGATTTGAGCGCTCTCGCTCTGCAGCCTCTGGCGGAACCATGGGGCCGTGGCCGCCCCCGGCTCACTGGGGGGCTTCGTGATGGACAGACAAGGCTGGCGCGTCTGCACCCAGTGCCCGCAGAGCTTTTTGCTCCCGGAGTTGACACAGCACCTAGAGCACATTCTCACCGTATGACTCAAAACTCTGAGCCCCGTTTGTAGGAGGTGCTGAGGTGGGAGGGGCGTCTCAAACACCGCTGTGCAGACGCGACCGCCAGGTCCCCAGTCGGGGAAATCCGACGGGGCTACTGACCTAGCTTCCTCAACAAATAAACAGCAGGAGAAAGAAGAGAGGGAGCGCGTCATCAATTAAAAGGGATTTAAAGACACGTCAAGCACAGACACTGTGTGAGTCCTGTGCATCTACTGATTTGAACAGACTATCTGCAAAAACCCGACTTATAAGAAAACTGGGGAAATTTGAACAAAGTCCAGATAGTAGATGATATTAAGAAACTACTGATAATTTTTACACTTGTGATAATGGTGCCGTCATTATGTTTTTTAAAGTGTCTATATTTCTCTGAGCGCAGTTCTGAAGCCTTCGCAGCTGAAATGAGGCGGCGTCTGGGAAATGCTTTTATCTGGGTTGGATTTGTCTTGGTAAGAGAAATGAAAAAAGGCTGGGAAAATGCTCATGATAGTTGAAGCTGGGTGAACAGCACAGGAACATTCATTTTAATATTCTCCGTACTGCTGTATGTGTTGGGAAATTTCCATAATAAAAAGTAAAAAGAAAAAAAGACCCATCGCGTGATAACACGAACAAGCGCTGTCCCCTCCCTGTGTGATTAGAAGGACGGTGCAAACAGGCCTTTTGTGCCTGAGTCTCTTAACTCCGAGGAGCTGTTTGCTGAACCACGACGATCAGCTATAGAAGACTGAGGAGAATTTGCTACATAGACCTTAAGACTACAATTTTACACACCTGATGGTTTGGATCTGCGAGGCACCGCACTACATTAGGTATGAGGTTGTCCGAGAACAGCATTGGAAAATCTGATCTATTTTCTCGTAAAAAAAAACGGCAATAGGAGGAATCTGTTCCATCAGCTCAGTCCGCACTGTGGGATCTGCAGCAATGAAAAAACAACAGAAAAAGGATTGTATAAAAATAAGCCAAGCGTCTTATAGAGTACTTACTGATAGTTACTAGCTTTTCTTACTAAAATACTTCATCAAAAAATTAGACAAATGCCATTTAAAAATCATTTCCCATTTTGAGTATTTATGCTACAGACAGGCTTAAAAAGCTAATAAGCTATAAGGCAATATAAAAACATAAAAAGAAGAGAGAATGACAACTCTATTATAACAAGCCATATATAAATCGAGGAGGGTGCAAGAAGTCTGCATGCTGGGCCAGCGTCCAAAAGCCATTACAACTAATGGCAGATATGCCAGACCTATGGGTTGTGCTTATTTAAATTCCAGCCAGAATGTATACATTATAAATAATTCTTTCATAAATGCACTCCCCCACAATCCACGCATCCCAATTATTTCTAAGGCAAAGCATTAAACAAAAGAGTGGCTTGAGCGCCAATACACCACATTAAACTTAACACAAATACATAATTGCTTCAGCGCTGTAAATGGTGACTCATTTATAAAGAGAATCCATTTAAGGACTCAAAACATCCACTTGGGCCTTTTTAAAAGCGTTGTGTCATAGTTGGATGAATATTTTAAACTAATATGGGAGCTATATGGAAGGCTTATTTTTCTATTTTCAGTTAAAATGATCAAAATCTAAAGCAAGCCTAATATTTCCAAAACTTTCTGAAGGGGTTCACCAGTCATTATAAAGGCGGGGTGGGCGGGGGTTGGGGGGCTGCTGTCCATACCTACAACCCACTACTTGCTCATCTCCCTCATCTTCCCAGGGAGGGGGTCGGGAGGGGGGCGTTAGTGTCTCAGCGCCTACCCCACAGCGGTGTGCTTTTCCTGTAGGACAGTAATCACGGAGGTAGAAAGAGGAAGAAAAATCAGCATGAGCCCACAAGGTCACAGGTGAGGACACTAATGACTGGGCTGTTCTAGTCTGAAGGACTTCTTCTGATTTGGTATTTCCTAGCAACCAATGGTCTGGCAAAACTCATGAAATACAAAAGGCCTAACTGCGAGGACAAAGAGCATTCATAGACATTAATGGTTCTGATTTTCTAAAAATAAGGATAATTTGATGCCAAACAAGACACCCATTCTTCATGACAAAATCCACTCGTGGTTAGACATTGCTTAAAATTTATCAATTAATAAACAGGTTTTTTATGTTTGCTCTGATTGGCTATAAACGAGTCTTGGAAATGCACATATTGGAAGGAAGAGCACGCACTCCCTGTACAAACCTGCGTCTTCTGACAGCCTGACCACGATGGCCAGGACCACGAAGGGGCCTTCCTCAGCGCGACTGAGGTCCCGGAGGACAGCGAGCAGTCCCCCGGCAATAATCTGGCTGCAGAGACAAGAAATGATCAACAGTTACGCGGGCAACGCTGCCTGCCGGGGCGCGAGCTACAAGCCAGCAATACAACCGGGGAGCGAAGGAAGGGCCGCAGCCTCCACTCAGAGGGAGGAGAGCGTGCCCAGGAGCTTCCGGAGGTGGCCACTCCAGTGCGGACCAACACCCCACAGGGATGGGACAGGTCCTCTAGTCTGGAGGCCACCGGCGGTGGAAACTGACCGCCTAGGACAAGGGAACGAGGGGGTGGCGGGAATGCTCAGCCGTGACTACAGCGGTGGTGCCGGCAGTATACACTGACGTAGACCTGTCCCACTGCTGCTGTGAGTGGGCACATTTGACTGCACAAGAACACACCTCAATGGAACTGTTTTAGACAGAGACACCGATGAGGGTCATTCAGGGCACCAGCAGGGGCTCACGGTGGCCTGGAGACCTTAGTGAGCAAGAACAGGGGCTGGCCAATGGAAAGGGGCTGCTGGCCGCCTGCTCCTGTCCGCTCCTGTGACTACGTGGCGACCCAGGAGCAGCGCGCGCCGCTCCTAGCCATGCACCCAGAGAATGAGCCGAAGTCAAAGGCCCACCTGGATTTTCAGAAAAAGAGGACCAGGAACGTGGGATTCAGCGAGGCGGTTTTTGGCGTGGCACCCTGCAGGAAGAAACCCGTCACCTCAAGCCTGCCCACAGAGACCCAGGCCAGCCCTGGGATGGAAGGTCGCGATCTGGCAGCCGGGAGGTTTGGGGAAGTCGAAATAGACACTATAAAGTCCCTGATTACATTTCACTGGACCGCATTCATGTTGTCTCCCCTGGGAAATCAAGCAGCTAAGATCCCCAATCTGCTTCTAGGGCCATGGAACAGGGAGACGGATCTGCATCCAGCCTCAAGTGGTCACAGGGGACCGGCCCTCCTAAGGAAAGCGAGGAAAGAGGGAGAGCGGGCTGGGAGCAGGGACAAACCCACCCTTCAGGGCAGACAGACGCAGGGGAGCTAAAGGTGCAAGCCAGCTGGTGCTCTGGCACCAATACGGCAGAAACAGCCGGCTTCTCTCTGTGGCAGGGGCCCGTGAGGTCCGCGTGGACGACAGTCCAGAAGCATCAGCCTCGCGAGCACCCACTGTCAGCGACCTGGTGTGAGGAAGGCAGGGGGGACAGCAGGTGCGCCTAGGCAAAGGGCTGTGAAGAGGAAGTGAGATCGTGCGGGGGAGCCTCACGGCACGGTACGCAGCGCACGGTGCGCCCTCGAGCCGGTCGGCCACGAGCACCACTACGGCAGCAAAGAACTGCACTCAAAATGTCTACCCGAGGAAGGGCGCCTCAATGGATTTGAGGTATCTATACGCTGACATACTATACAGCCATTTTTAAAGGTGCCTGTAGATAGGCACTGAGTTAGAGAGAGGCCCATGTCCTGACGCGAATTATGTTTACATACACAGAACATGTACACATAAACACAAGTGCGTACATACGCTCATTTAGGGGAAAGTCTGGAAGGACTAAGCTGTCCACAGGTATTACCTCAGACTGTGGACTGTCACTATTTAATGTCTAAAACTGCTAAATGTTTCAACAAGTGTTATTTTCATGGATTTTTTTAAAACATGAAGAAAGAGGATGGCTCAGCCTTACGTGGCAACGTTCCCGAGAAATGTGACCGCGGCGGAGCCCCCCCGGGTTTGTCCTTTCCCGCGCCCACTGCCACGGTTACATGCAGGAGTTGAGCCTGACCAGCTCTAGACTCAGGGCAAGAAGCTTGGGGTTCAGAGACGAGAACGTTCCAGGTCCCGCCCAGAAGGCGCTTACAGCCGAGGCCCATGAATAAACAGGCCAGGAAATCGATAACGATGAAGAACAGGGACAGGATTCTCCAGACAGAGGGGAATGACGTGGGGGCGCGCCGGCAAGACGAGATCGAGGGCGCGCAGGAGACAGGCCTCGGAGGGACAAGGGAAGACGAGGACATCAGGCCCGGGCGTCAGACAGATCCAACAAAGACTTAAAAACAAGTGTGCTTAATGTGCTGAAGGCCTATTGGCACAGGTGGACATGCCCGGACAGGTAAGGAAGGGAGGAACTCTGTACTTTCTGCTCCGTTTTTCTATAAACCTAAAATTGCTTACAAAAGTGAAGTCTATCAAATAGAGAAAAAAAAAGAAAGTGAAATAAATACTTTTTCAGATAGACAGAAGCTGTGAGAATTCACTGATAGCCGCCTTGTCCTAACAAGGATTATTAAAGGAAGTTTTTGAGGCAAAAAGAAATAAAAAGCACAAAAATGGTAAAATTAGTAGCAAAGATTAAAAATATTTTTCTCATTTTAATTGCTCTGAAAGACAGCTGACTACCTAAGGCAAATATAGGCACAAGAGACTGTCATGTTTGTAACAGGCGGGAAAACAGCTCAGAAGAGACAGGAGGAGGAAATGGGGGGGTGGTTCTGCCTTGCGGTTCTCAGGCTGTACCTTGCGCTGTATGCAAAATGGTGCAATTGTACCTGAACATATGTTGCAGTAAGTTAAAGAAGAATATTATGATATGGAACAACAGTAATAATTTTTAGAAGGGGTATAACGAATAAGCCAAGAGTGGAGATCAGCTGGAATTATTTTTAAAAATTAGTTTTTCTTAAAAAGGCAGGAAAACAGCACGAAGAGTTGAGACAAAGAGAAAACAAACAGCAAGATGGTAGACTTACACCAAGTCACATTCATGTTAGCGTCAAGTGTAAATGGTCTAAACATTCACACTAAAAGGCGGAGAATGTTAAACTGGATTTTTTTTTTAAAAAGCAAGACCCAACTAACTACAATAATCACTTTAAATATAAGACATAGGTAGGTTAAAAATAAACAGGCAGACATACACCACATACACATCCAAGCGAGCTGGTGTGTACATTTCAATACCAGACACAGTGAGCTTCAGAAAAAGGAGTATTACTGGGGACAAAGAGGGACCTTACACAGTGACAAAGACAGCCGTGTATCTGAGAAAACAAAACCATACTGAATGTGCTTGTACCCAAGCACGAAGCTTCAAAATACACAAAATAAAAACTATTAGAACTGAAAGAAAAATAGACATAGCCACAATGATCGTCACAGATTCCAACATCCCTCTCAGTCACCGACAGGGAGAGAGCACAAGTAAGAATAAAGCAGGTGCGAGCGGTGCTTTCAGCCAACCTGACCCAACTGGCATTTATAAGACTCTCCCCCAAAACCCTGGGATGCACATTCTTTCCAAGTGCGCATGGAATATTCACCAAGTAGAGCAGATTGAGCCATAAAATAAATCTCAACACATTTTAAAAAGAGGAATAATACAAAGGATGTTCTCTGACAAAAAAGACAAACTAAGAATCAAATTACACAAAGAAACCTGGAAAATCCTCAAATATTTGGAAATTAAACAACACACTTCTAAAAAACTCATTGGTTAAAGGAAAAATCATTATGGGCATTAATAATACTTTAAACTGAAAGGTACTGAAATGACATATCAGAACTTAAGGATGAAGATAATATAATACTTAAGTACTTAATAGCAACGTTACAATGTAAAATGCAGATGTTATCAAAGAAAGGCCAAAAAAATAAAGAGTTAAGCATCCCTCACATGAAAAAAAAAGGAACAGCGATTATACTCCCCCCCAAAAAAACTCCAAGGGAGAAAATGATGCAGATTAGAGCAGAAGCTATTGAACTAGAAAATAAATAAACAACAGAGAGTATCAAAGCCAAAACGTGATGCTTTGAAATAACTGATAAAGCTGATAATCTTCTGGTAAGAATTATCTAGGGGGGAAAAGAACACGGCAACAATAACCAATAACAGGGTGGAAAATGGGGCCATGCTACAGATTTTATGGACAATAAAAAGAAAATTACCATTTTCCAACACACAATGAAATAACAGATCTAAGCAATAATGTTTGTGACCACTAACATCATCAAAGGAAAGTTGGTGAGGAATTTTATATAGAAGGAAGGTTGGTGAGGAATTTTATATAGAAGGAAGGTTGGTGAGGAATTTTATAATGAAAGCATCCAGCACCTGCATCCGCTGCTCAACAGGGAAGTATCCAAACCAAGTACACAAAACAACAGAGGAAGCTTGGTTCAAAAACAAAATTTGAAGCAGAGTCTAATCAAGTGTCCAAATGTAATTTTCAGTTTACAGAAAACAAAGGGACATGTTAAATTACACTATGAGAATAAGGACCACCAAAGCCAGACCGTGGAAAATTCTACAAGACTAATGACCCCTTCAATAAATAAATGATGCAGGGGGGAGAGGAGAGGGATAATCAATTACAGAGTTAGAGAGATTTAAGATCAAAAGGAGAAAACTGTAAACAAAAAAAGACTTCAGAGATAGAGCGACCTAATGAGATACAGGGACCTTCTTTGGATCACGATTCAAACCAACCAACCATAACTAGACCGCCAGGGAAACCTGAAGGCGGACGGTGGGTGAGAAGGCATTGCTGCTAATTCGGTTGAGTGTGATGACGACACTGGTGTTAGATTTAAGTCTGTAACTGGATAAAACGATATGACGTCCCCAAATTCCTTTACAATACATCAGCATAAAAGCACAAAACTTCTAGAGAGAAAATAATCACATTTTATGGGGACCTTAAGAAAACATCAGTAAAAGGAAAAACACACCATGTTTATGGATTGAAGTCTAAATATTGTAAAGAGGGCAATTCGCTCCAAACTGGCCTGTAGGTTCTATGCAAACCCAATCAAAACCCACATAGTGTTTTGTTTTGTCCTGTTTTATGGTTTTGGATCTGCTTTGTATTGAATCTGATGAGCTGATTTTGAAATTTATACAGAAATGCAAAGGATCAAGAATAACAAGGCACATCGAAGAAGAAACACAAGGTGCTAAGTCCTCTCAATCAAATACCGAGACTGAACAACAAATCTCAAGTAATCAAGATGGCGCGGTGTTGGCTAGGGGAAGACCGGCCCCTGGAAGAGGGGACAGTCCAGACAAGGCTGTCACAGGTACAGGGTCATGACAGTCAGCACTGAGAGAAGAATGTGTTTTTGATAAGTGGTACCATGACAGTTAGAAAAACGACGCTGGGCCCTCTTTCACACAATGAACCAAAATTAAAATCAGATGGATTATAGGCCTAAATGTGAAAGGAAAACAAACAAACGAAAGCCTTTAGAGCCTTGTAAAAGAATATGTTTATGATCTTGGAGTGGAGGAAGACATTTTGAAAAAGCTTCAAAATACACTGAGGATGAGGGAAAATGTGGATAACTGTAAGCAGGTGAAAATGCGTAGCGTGGGTCACTGGGCGGCCACAAGGAGAACTAAAACAGCCGCCACGGGGCGAGGGGACGGCCCCACAGAGCGGACGCAGGTTCGGAGTCTAGACTCGACAAAGGGCATCTACAGCTTAATAGGAAAAAGACGGAGAATCCCTTTCCCCGCCTCCAACGAAAGATTTAACCAGCCACTTCAAAAAAAAGAGGAAGAAGAAGAAGAAAGAATATAGGTGAACACCTAGGAAAAGGTGTTCAAAATTTTCCAAGGTCCGGAAAATGTGAATTTAAATCACAGAGCGGTATCGTATTATATACAACCACACTGCCAGCTCAGCTGAAATCGTTCAAGTTGACGATGGCAATCGGCGGAGAAACTGTGGGGCAAAGGCAGGCCTGCGCACGGATCCCGCTCTGGGAAACCGGCGCTGTCACTAAAGCCGTGAGTGAGTGCGCCCACCGCACAGCCGTTCTCTCCTGGATGCGCAGGGGTGCCTACTGTGCGCACCCAGACCCAGAGCCGCTCGCAACACTGAGGAAGCTGGAGGGGAACCCTAGCGACAGGAGGGGTAACCGTCAGAACACTGCCGGTCCAAGGCAGCGCAAGCTACGCGCCCAGCCGTGGAGCAGCACAGCCTCCAGGGTCCCGCAAACTTCAAGTTCAGAAATAACAAAATTAAACTGTATTCTTTGAAGGTAGATACTTTGGTGGTAAAAGTGAGGGACACTGAGGATGTGATAGAGATAAAAATCAGCAGGTGGGTGCGCTTGGCGGGGAGGGGTGGGTACCAGGAAGGGGCGCCAGGCTTCCAGGCGACTTACGTAATGGCCAGGTAGGCACTGGCTTCATCCAAGTTCCTTAGACTTTACGTGTGTATCTAATCCAATTATCTGTCTGTGTTTATGTCACAATAACAGAAATTTTACAGAAAGTTAAAAACAAGAGAGATTAAAGAAGAAAAATCGTCTGATAACCTCGACAGAGGTAAAAGAAGCATTATATAAAATTCAGACCTCACTGAAGATTTTTAAAACTCTTAGTAAGTTTATTTTATAAAAAAACAAACAAACCCTATACTCTTCAAAAATGTCAACTATATCATGAAAACGAAAAGCAAAGAAAGTCTGAGAAACGGTTAAGAAACTGAAGGAAACTAAAGAAACACAAAAATTAAATGCTGTAGGTGATGCTGGACTGGATTCTGGGCCTAAAAACAAACCCAAAAACCTGACATAAAGGTGCTGCGAGGGTAACTGGGAAAGATGGGTCGAAATCTGTATGTGAGACAACAGCACTGTGTCAAAGGCGGACCCCGACCGACCGTGGCCGGACCGTGGCCCGACCGTGCGCAATGGCGACGGCAAGGGCGAGGGGCGGGCTGTCCCGGCTCCCAGGACAACGCACAAGGAAGTGTTCAGAGGGACAGCAGCGGACGTCAACACTGACTCTCCAACACAAAGTAGAAGCAGGCAGAGAACGGTGAATCGAATGTGGTAAAACAAATGTTGGCAATTGATGAATCTGAGTAAAAGTTACACAAGAATTCTTTCTAGTCTTAAAACTTTTCTGTGTGAAATTATTTCTAAAAGTTTAAAAACAAACTTTAGTAAATGAGAGATATAAAGGAATATAAACCAGAAATATAAATTTTCTTAAGCTGGTAAGAGGTAGCTACTAAAAATGTAAAACGAAGTAAGAAAGGAAGAAATAAAACTACAATTTTTCAGACAACACCATCGTAAGAGGTATTGTAGAAAATCCAAAGAACTCACAGGAAAGTTATTAATCAGTAAACAACTAATCAGAGGAGATAAAAAACCCATTTCATTTTCCTATATCAGCAACAATTAGAATATAAATTTCAAGAAATGATACAATTTACATGAGCATAAAAGAGCAAATACCTAGAACTAACCCTAACAAGACACAGAAGGCCTCTACAACAAAAACAACACAGTAGTTTCGTGTTTATGTGTATATACACAAGTACACACACACACACACACACACACACACACAGAAACTGAAGAAAATCTTTAAAAATAGAAATATGAGAAAACAAAATATTGTAAAGATGTCAATTCTTTAAAAATTGGTTTACAGATGCATCACAATTCCAATCGAAATCCCAGCAAAAGACAGATGAACGGCTGCTAGTGTGTTGCTAAAAGCCACCCAGGAACGCAAAAAGCCAAGACCAGCAGGACAGCCTTGAAGAACAAGGCAGGAGGACTTCTTCCACCCGACACCAGGACTTTGCCGATGAAGCGGAAAGATGAAGGCAGGGTGCTCCTGACACAGTGACAGGTAAACCGACCCACGGAGCAGGCTAGAGAGTCCGAAATGGACACTTGGTTTAAGACAAAGGCAGGGACGCAGAGGCTTACATAAGAGGTAGTATTTTCAATAAATGGCACTGGGTCCATCGGATGCCACACAGAAGAAAATGAAACCTGGCTGCTACATCACATCACGCACAAACAGAAAAGGCAATTCCAGGTGGACCACAGATCTGAATGCAGAAAGTAAAACAAATAAAACTTCAAGAAAGCAATATAAGAAAATATCTTGGTGGCCTTGGGGGAGGCAAACGTTTCTTATACACAACATGAAAAGCACTAACCATAAAAGAAAAAATTGATAGATCGTGAATCACATTTAAATTAAGAACTGCTCATCAAAAGACATCGTTCAGAGTGCGATCATTTTCTCATCTGTACAATTGGGATAATAACTGGACTCATTCAGGAGCGATTGCTGGGAGCCTGCATTGATTTAATAGATGTAAAGACATAGAATATAATTTTTTAAAGTACGAGTGGGAGGTAAAGAACGAGACTCAGCAAGTGGCATCCGGTCCGGAAGAGGCACGGTGCCCAGGGAGGTAGGAAGGGAGGCTGCAGGCAGAGAAGCCCAGCACAGACGGGCAAGATCCGTAGGGGGCAGGGAAAGGTGTGCGCAAGGCGGGTGGGGGGTGGGGCAGACCCAGGCGGGGGCAGATCGGATGGACGGAGGTGGGGAGACAAGAAGAGAGCTGCCCCCTCCAGGACAGGCGGGGAGAAAGCTTGCCTGCGGGTCTGGGCGGACCGCAAACTGAAGGCCGTGCCCTAGGCTCTGCTTCCTTCATGAGGCGGGGTCCGGGTCACCCACGACAGCGAGGACAGTCTGGGCCTGGGGTAGATTCCAGCCAGCACCATGGGGAGCGACATCAGGTCAGGGCAGGGCAAGCTGCAGGGAAGTCCCCGAAGTGCAGTGCTGTCCACGGCCGGGGACACCAAGGCTCCAAGGGACACTTCCCAGTCAACAGCGTGCTCTGCCTCTCCGCACGCCGCCCACATGGAAGAAACCCAGGGAGCCATCCGAGCTGCCTGACCACCATGAAATGCCCTCGCCATTTCCTGCCTGGCTTACCAGGCGGTCAGGGAAACGGAAACACTCACGATGGCAAAGCCTGGCACAGGGTGGCATGCGGACAGAACCCCGGTACCCTGCAGACAGGCCGTGTGCCGCCTCAGCCGTGAGCCCCTCAGAGCTGCTCCAGAGAAGTGGCCGCCAGTGTCAGACACGACAGAGGGCGCGAGCGGGTGAGGGCCAGGCGAGCTTACCGGCTGAGGACGTTCTCGCTGAACGCACACTCCTCCTGGCGAGCGAGGGGAGGAAGGCTGTCCCGGCCTGGCACGTCCCCCGCAGGCTGTCAGCTTCGGGCCACAGTCTTCAAATCCACCTGGAGGGGAGGGGAACACGCACTTGTGAGTCTGCGTCTGCTGCGACAAGTCGCGCTTGGGCGAAGGCACGCCTTGGAGCTCGCTCGCTTGCCGCTGCCACCGCTGAAGCCCCCGCAGACGTGGACCTGACAAGGTTGAAATGAGCGCAGAAGGTCCATCACCCAGGGGAAGGGTGACAGGACCAGGCCCAAGAAGACAACGAATGCCCTTCTAGTGCCATCGGCCTGAGGCCTGAGCCGCCACTCATCACTGTGGACGGGAAGGTGGCTTCTATCAGGGAACTCGGAAGCGAGTGAACAAAACGGCTCACCCCTCGGAAAATGGCCATGCAGTTCAGCTCAAACAGGCTTAAAACGGCTGAAAGAAAAACGAACAACAGGGACCCTGCAAGCAAGAACCTGACAAAAAGCCCGCCCCAGGCCTTGTCTTGCCGTAAACATGGCCGTCACATAGCTTCGTCCACTCTGCAGCTCGGCTCTCACCGGCCCACACCCCGGCCTGGCGACACCCAGCCAGATCCGCCACGTGGGCGTCCACAGGCTCCTCCAACTCACTCTGGCCAACAGTGAGCCACCGGTCACACGGACTCTCCTCCCAAAGCCTGGGCCTCCCCTGTCCCCAGCTGAGGGCAGGCACCTCCGTCCCTCCAGTGGGGCAGGCTGGCTGAGCCCAGGCGCACGGGACTGGGACGAGTCCCCCACCGCCGCTTGCCCCGCGCAATCCCCACTCGCCTGGAGGTGGAAAACCAGGCCTCGCCTTTGCCTGTCGGGGTGCTGGAGAAGGGAGCTCCTGCAGGACCTGGTCCCCGGCGCCCTGACCCACCCGGGCCCGGCCACAGCCGCCACACCCACGCCTCGGGGTGCACGCGCCCCCCTCCTGGCCCTTGTACTTCCTGACCAGGGTCAGGACCACCTGCTGGAGGCGCTGGGAAGGGCGCCTCCTGGGACACCTGCCAGGGCCCCCGCCAGGCAGACGGGAAGGCCCCGGCTGTCCAGGCCGCGTTGCCAATACGGGCTTCACATGAGACAGAGGTCTGGGCCCGGGGGCTTTGTTTTCTCTGAAACACTAACCATGTTTTTTCTCAACTAATTCTTTTAGGTTAGTAATTAGAGCCTATTAAAATTTTACGTTGTATAACAGTTCCTCACGGAAGTGTAATGTTCAATTACACATTTGTAGAAAAAATACATGTAGCACAATCACATGTGCTGTTTCTTGGCAGGACCCCTGCCAGGGAAGGCAGGGTCCACACTGGGCCACAGCCACGCCCCCGGCCACAGTCCCTGTGAACGACCTGGTCTTGCTACACCTCAGGAGAGCCCAGGGGGAACGTGCACCCTCTGTCCCACGTTGCCAGATGTTGCCAGAGCACCGCAGACCCAGCCTGGAGGGGACCTGAAAACCTTAAGTGGTAGGGCAGCGGCTTCTAAACTTCGGGGTCACACGCAGCTGCAGAGGCTGACGGTGTCCACAGGCGCACACTCAACTTCTCATACAGGGTCAGGGGTTTCAAAAGGTCCTGCGGCCACCGGTGTGCTTCACAGGTTAGGAGCTGCTGTTTTAAAGTGGCAGGAAATACACAGGCACTCTGTAAAATCTGTTTATCAGAGAACTAGAGAACTTACCAATGAGTTCCACAAAAGAGCAACTGTTATTGGAGAATATTAATGATTCTACTACGCTAGCTATATAAAACTACACTAACTAAGCACAAGGAAATAAAAGCCATAAAACAGTGCGTAATTACTAATCTTTATTGGTTATGTCCTATAAGCCAGGGACTGCAGAGCTTTCTGAATAGCAGCAGTTCAGCAAATCCCGACAACAGTTCTGTTATTCCCCTATTTCTGTTAGGGACTTCAAACCGAGAAGGGTTAGGAAAGCCGCTGAAGGCCACGCAGCCCAAGGGGCCGGAATCTGAACTCGGTCACACCCCAGACACTGCACGGCGCTGTGCTGCCAGAGGGGAAACCCGAACCGTACACTTACTACCCGTACGTTTACTTGTTGTGAAGTCCCTCCCGCCTCCCGACCTGGCTGCAGGCAGGCGGCGGCCCTCGGTTCCCCAAAGGCCACGGCTCTTCCTCGCCACGTCTGCGCACGTGTTGTCCCCATCGCCTGGGACGCTGCCGCTTCCCGCGCCCTGCCCCGCTCTCGCCCCCAGCTTGGGTGTCAGTGTCCAAGAGTCCCCTGGGCCCCCAGCCCTCGGGAGAAGGCCAGTGCCCAGGCCCAGGCCCCCTGGAGCTGTGGACTTTTCTGCCCGCACACTCCTTGCGAAGAGGCTGGCACCAGGTTTTCTGAAGGCCTCCTCTGACCTGCCCAACAGCTGTCAATCAAGCCTCAGCAGAATCCAGCCCGACCCAAGAGCATTTTCTACTCATCGTAACAAAAGCCAACATTATTGGGTTTACACAATTTGTGCAGTAAAATCTAACACCCCGAAATGCTTAATGCCTGGCATCTCTCCAATATTACCAAGCATGAAAAGAAGCCAAACACTACACTATAACCACAACCAAGAAAAACAAATACACAGATATGGTCAAAAAAATGTCAGAGACGAGGGAATTAATAGGAAATGATCTTCAAACGCAAGTTAAAAGAATGCTCCACACATTCCAGAAAGACCTGCTGACGTCCAGGAGGAAAGAGCTCTAAAAAGCACCCGTGTGAGAGGTGCCGGAAAAGCGGTCAGGGTCTCGCTCCCGCCCAGCGCTCCCCAAGCTTCCTGGCCCAGGTTTCGGGGAGGTGGGCAGGGTGGAGGGAATGGTTTCGGGATGACTCGAGTACATTACATTCAAGCAAGCCCCCTCCTGCTGTGCGGCCCGGTTCCTAGCTGGCCCGGCCCAGCACCAGTCGGCGGCCTGGAGGTTGGGGGCCCTGCTCTAGACTTTGCCCAGTGGGGAGCTACTGATCTACCAACCTGGCCATTAGCCTTCGAGGCAAATACGCACCTCATGACAAGAAACGAACTGCCCTTCTGATCCCTGTTCTAGCGTTGGTCCCCTTCCCGTCCCATTGCTCCTCCCCTAACCCGGTGCAGGTTCCCAGGGGAGCGAGCGCTTTGGACAAGGATGTCTAAACTCCGTTACTGGGATTTCCACCAACTTAGGGTGGAGCTGCAGAGAAAGGGAGTCCCTCCCACCAAAATTTAGATGAAATATTTTAGCCCTAACCAGCATGGCTCAGTGGGTTGGGTGCTGTCAGTTCGATTCCCAGGCAGGGCATGTGCCTGGGTTGCAGGCCAGATCCCCAGTTGGGGGCATGTGAGAGGCAACTACACATGGATGTTTTTCTCCCTCTCTTTCTCCCCTCCCTTCCCTCTCTCTAAAAATAAATAAATAACATCTTTAAAAATGGCACAACCTTTAAAATAAACAAATAAAGTATAATATTTTAAAACATAGGAAGACAAAAATGACATCTCCAACGTGACAAACAGGAAGCTTGAAATCAAAGTGAAAGCAGCCAGCGGACGTTCACGCCCTGTGGTCAACACGTAAGACCCAGAGGCAGGTCTCAGGCATCAGACTTCCGAAGCGGTAAGAGATCAAGGGCGTGAACTTGAAACGAAGCCCCCAAGGTGAAACAGGTGCGGGAAGGGGGTTTCGGTTATGACAGGAGCCGGGGAGGGGCAGCACTCTTGAAAAATCAAAACCCCAAGCCTGTGCGGCCCCTGACTGCGGCGCCCAGACTCACACCACCTGCCACGCACAGGAGCCCCCCCGAGCTCCTGAGAGGGTCCCTGGCCAGACCCACCCCAATTCCGGGCATTCCCGCAGAAGCAAACAAGAAGCTGTTCTCAGGAGACTGTCACGATCCAATAAACATGCAATTTCATGAAACAATCCCTGCTGAAGGTAAACAGGCCATAAAAATTTTCGAACTATGCATGGTTACAAACCATCAAGGGGAGGAAGAGTCAGCAGAAGCAGCGAGTGAGAATTTGCACCCCCAGATCAGAAAATCTGAAATGGACTATCAAATAATTATGCATAGAATGAGTAGGATTAAAAAAATAGATATCATAATGAAAAAAGAGGAGAGCGAGGGGTGGGAGGTACAGGCACATGTGAGAAAGAACCCAGCAGAAATGAAAAATAGAGACAATTTAATTAAAAATTCAGTAGCTGGCTTAAAGAGCAGTTCAGACGCAGCTCAGGAGAGAGTCAGTGAGCCGGAAGATCGGTCTGACAGCTCGCTCACAGCACTGCTCAGAGCAGTGACGAGCTGGCAAACACGCGGCAGCAGGGAGGCACGTGAGGAGCGGCGTGCGGGGCGCCCAGAGAAGCCCAACGGGACTCACAGGCAGAGGGACTGCGGACACAGGAAGAGGCAATGGCTGACAATTTTCCAGAATGAAAAAAAGAAAGATGAATATTCAATTTGAAGAATTACAAATCCTGAACTGAATGATTAACAATAAATCCATACTTCGATTGTAGAACACTGAGGACAAAAAAAGCATCTAAGGAAAACAGAAAAATGAAAGATTCTATCTCAGATCTCTCCCTTAAAAGCCATTAGAGACAGAACATACAGCCGGCAGGAGTGTGGGAGCTCTTGAGTCAGACACCTGCATGTGAAATCCAGCCCCGCCTCTCACAGGGTGCGTGGACTCTGGGTGGATGTCTCCCCCTCTGATTCTGTCTGCTCACCCTAAAACGGGTGCTCACCTCAGAGGACTGCAGTGTGGATTAAATGATGTGAGACAGACAGTCGCCTGGACATAAGTCACACAGCACCTGACACACGTACGCGCTCTGAAAATATCAGCTGCCAGTGTTACAATTAAACCACTGAGCACATTCCACTACTCACAGTTCCATGTTTCTATCTCTCGCATTCAGAGCAACCAGACTCTATAAAGCATGCGTGTGTGGGGAAGGGAGAAGAAGGGGGACTTCTGGAAAGCAACACATCGGTGAGGGGGTGCCTCTGACTTGACCCCTACACCATGCACCCGCGTGGCGGGCTCCGTAGCACAGCAACGGCTAAGAGACCTGGACTGAGATTTGGAATATCATCCATGAGAGGAGAGGCGGAGGTAACTATTTAACCTCAATCAATTTCAGTACCCACTAAAACAAGACAAAACAATGAAATCAATGCTTTTTGAATGCACACAGCAGAATTCAGAGGTTTTACAGCACATAATATTTACAATAGCCAGGTTACAATCCAAAATTACTCAGTAAAGAACAAGAAAACCTGAACTAGCTAAAATAGAAAAAAATCAAAATAGACTGAGTCTAAAAGAATCCAAATGTTGGAATTACAGACAAGGATTTTAAAGCCACTCTTATAAAATGCTTATGGACGTAAAGGAAAATATGCCCAGAATGAGCAAAAAGATAAGGAATCTCAGCAAAGAAACATCAACTATAAAAACACACCAAACTGAGTGTCAGCCTCTGAACCAAAGGGTTGCCAGTTCAATTCCCAGTCAGGGCACATGTTTGGGTTGTGAGCCAGACCCCCCAGTAAGGGGCATGCGAGAGGCAATCACACATGAATGTTTCTCTCCCTCTCTTTCTCACTCCCTTCCCCCCCTCTAAAAATAAACAAACAAAATCTTTAAAAAAAGGCACCAAGTAAAAATTCTAAAATTGAAACAATATCCGAAACTTAAAAATTCATTGCATGGACTTAACAGAACAGAGATGATAAAATAATGGCCCCAAATTCCCCAAATTTGGTGAAAGAAATAAATGTACAGAACCAAGGATCTCAACAACCCCAGGAAGATAAAGACACAGAGAATCACACCAAGACACATCTTAGTCAAACTGCTGATCGCCGCAGATGCTCATCTTGAACGCAGCAGAGGAAAACCAGCGCTGCAAGCAAGGAGCAATGACTCAAACGATCCCGACTCCTCGGCGGAAACGCCGGAGGCAGAAGGCCTTGAAACACATCTTTAAAAGACTGAAAGGTCAATCCGCAACTACATAACCAGTGAAATATCCTTCTGGAACGAAGATGGAAGAAAAACATTGTGAGAGCAAAAAACAAAAAGACAAAAACAAAAACCTAAGAATTTATTTTTAATACACCCTTTAAACACGGCCAGCCAACACAGACTACAGAAACGCTAAAAGAAGTACTGCAGGCTGAAGAGGAACGTTACCATTTGGAAATAAATGTCTTCAAAAGGAATTAAGAGCGTTAACAATGGCAAACATGTGGTTAAATATTTTTAAAATTATTTTTCCTCTTAATTTCCTGAAAACACATAGGATGGTTTAAAGCAATACAAAGCAAAAATTACAACATTGTACTGTGGAATTTACAACCTATGCAGATGAACTATATAATAAAAACTGTAACACCAAGTAGGAGAGTAATGACTGGAACTGTGCAGTTGTCAGGTTTCAACGTTTTACATAAAGTGGCGCATTATTAACTCCAAGTAGACTGTTTCTATCTCCACAGCTAAGCTCGTTGGCCCTTTAAACCCTGGGACCGTTTCATATAAAGACATTGATTTCTATAGAAATCAGTCTCCCGAGACTTTGATTACCAGGATTCAATTCATGAGAGTCTAGCAGCCCCTGAGAAAGCTGAGAAAATCTAGTTTCCACAAAAATGAGGTGCAGCAAGTAAGTAGCTTAAAGCTGCCTGGAGCTGCGCCCACGTGAGTTATAGAGCACCCAAGACGTTAATTCATTCACTTCTGCCGGCAAAAATGAGAGCTCGCAGCCTCAGAAAAGAGAGGAGGCAGGTCAAAAACTACAACACAACTGCTAAGATAAAATAATGAATTCTAATAATCAATATAAAGTACATGGTTTAATCAAAAATATTCAATCATCCTGACAATGCATACAGAAGAATTAATTTTAGTAATACATATTGTGTATGGAAGGAGGGGTAGAGAGGAGAGAGAGATGTAAAATTCATCTGAAATAGTAACAGATGTGAATTCTAGGGGCTGGTTTTCTTCTAAGAAAGAGAATTGCAGGTTCAATCCGACCCAGGACAAAGACCCAGGTTGTCTGACTGCACCCCTCGGGAGGGTGCCGCAGTGACAGCCTGCTGGCGGCCTCCGGGGCCACAGGGAGCCAGCCCCCGTCCCGCCCCCGGTGGGCTCCACACTCTCAGACCGCAGCGCGAACCCTCATCCCATCAGCTGGCGCTGAGGACCGACAGCGTGGGACCTCACGTCCCCAAGTGTGACACTGGAAGGTCCACTCGGTATCGCTACGGCACGCAGTGGGAACACGACGCCTGGCCCCGTTACTGGTCAAGGCAGAGAAAGCCCCGCCTTGGGCCAGGGTGAGGGCCCCCCTGCCGCAGGGGGCCCTCCCTTTCTGATGCAGAGCTGCCGTGTCTGTCCAGATTGTCACTGTGCTATTTTATTCTTGTTGAAGCTTCATGTTGAACAACTGATGTAAGTCTTCTAAAATGTGTTTAAATAAAAAGGAAGTTACTCGTTATAAGGAAAAATACAGGCAGTGTACAGACAAAGCAGAGACAGTAAATAGGAGAAACAGGGCAGAAATGACTGGGCTCCGAACAACCCTGCATTTGCATAACCCCAGGAAAAGATTCCCATTAATACAATCCCAGCCACATGTGAATGATCGTGCCTTTTATCTCACGTCCTGCAAGTCAATCTGGGTTTTTTAATATGCAGGTGAACATTTCTCTTACGTGAATCACCATCATAACCCCTTGCAAAATTAGAAAATCCCACTTGAGCCCACATGATAAGACTATCTGCAGGATTATTACTGTTGGCCTGTACATAACGCATTCGATTTTCTTTAACTACCCTGTAAAAGGGCCTGTTTACTACCACGGACACACAAGCAAGGCTGGGGTCGGCCCCCGGCCCGTGAGCGCGCACGGCCCACAGCGTCTTTCAGTCGAGGGCGAGGGCGCTCAGACCGACCAGGCCGTTGACATTGTCGTTGTTTTTCTGCTGTTAGGCCTTAAAGACAAAGCCGAGCCGCGGTGGACGGACTGTAACAGCAGAGCAGGAGCTCAGCCGCAGCCCTGCCGGCGTGACCGTTCGCTATGGCGGGGGGCTGTGCACGGCGGGGCGTGAGGCCCCCTCGGTGCCAACAGCGCCCACCCTCTCCCCAAGCTGTGATGATCAAAACTGCCTCTAGACGTCGCCACGTGTCCCCAGTTGAGAACAGCTGTAAAAGAGAAAGGTGTGACAGGTGTGGTCACCTGAGCAAGCCCTGGCGAGTGGACGGGCGTGCTGAGGGCGGGGTCTCAGGTGAGCGGAGGGATCAGACCCACCTTTGCCTCTCTGACCTCAGGGCCCCTCGTACCCCCTCTTCTGGCCATGACCTCCAGCCACTTCCTTGGCTGAGGGCTGTGGCACCACCTGGTCCTCTCTGATAGCTCCCTTCTCCTCTTGAGAACCTTCGCCCACTCACTCTCTCAGCGAGGCCCTCCCCGACCCCCCTATGTTGAAACCGCAGGCCTCCCACCGACGCCCACCTAACCGTGATCAACGGTCTCTTTTCCCAGGGAACTCCTCACCTTCTCACACGCACGAGTGCTGTTGACGTTCACCACTTCCTGGAGGGTCCACTCCCTGACCTCTGCCCCGGCACCCGCACCCAGGGCAAAAATCTGCAACTGGCTCATGGACGGGCCTGCACACAGCATGCATGCGACCAAAGGGGCTGAGCGAATTCATGGATCAATGACTGGCGAGGCTCTGCCAAGCCAGCCTGCTGTGCCTCCTGACGGTGGCAGTAGCGCATAAAATGACTCCTGCTCTCAAAAGGAATTTTCTAGAATGTACATTTGTAGCCACTGTTAAGAGAGCATGTTGTCTAGCACCTGTTCACCAGAACCATGGTGAAATCACAAGCAGTTGGCTACTTGGAGACCCAGCAAGTCCAGGTACTCGGAGGCACAGGAACCGTAAGCGTTCAAGTTAAAAATGAAACATGAAGTAGCACATAAATAGTTCCTTGTTCAAGTGTTTTCATTGCATTTTCTCACCTTTGATAAAAATAAGTTACCTACTCCATTCATAAAGGCTTAGTATCATGCAGAAAAGCAAAGCTGTCTTAAAACAGTTTTTAACAACACCTCCAAGTCCTCTCAGCTCTGCTTGAAATGCAACCACAGAGCCGTGGCCGCGCTGCCTCCACACGCTCTCCATGCGCTCTCCACGCTGTGACGGGCCTCTGCGCAGAGCTGCTACGTGTCTGCCGCACATTCGGCTCTTTGGCACGGTCACGCAGGACGTCACTAACCCTTTTCCAAAAATGATGAATGACGTACGGCTAAAAAAGACCAGTAGGGGCAGCGCTTGGGAGAACTGCCAGTTGGATCCACAGGGGGCGTAGCATCTCCCCTCATACCTTTGCTCGGCACCTGGCTTCCTGCCACACACACACATGCCACCGTGTCTCCCTGAACTGTTGGGCCGACATCCCGGTGACTTCGTTGCATCACTCTCAGCAGCTATGGCTGCCACCTGCCCTCCAGGGGACGGTCCAAGGTGGAAACCCAGCTAAGAAACGAAGAGATACACAGGCCCCCTCCACCATCCAGCCAAAAGCAGAATGGTCCTGAGGCAGAAGCCTAGAGCTCGCATGGCCAACAGCAAGACCGAATCCTCTTCCGAGACGTCCTGATCAGCGTGCAGAGAATACCAGAATCTCATGTTCTTTAGCCCTGATGTTAGATGACAAGGAAAAAAACAAAAGGGACTCTTCCCTGATTAGAAGTCTCCCCAGAAACCTACCTACAACTCAGGGAAAAAAAGGAATTTACCCTACTATGCTAACTAGTTACTCAAGGGTTATCTACTAAAAATAGTGAGCAAAATAAGATGAAAATAACGAACACTGCTGGTGCAGTCACCACTTAAAGTGGCTGGGGTGTAAAATAAACTGGGTGAGGATGCTCTGGCAAAAACACGCAGTGGGCCCTGAGCGCCTGCTGTGTCCGCGGTTGTCACAACGCACCAGTCTATCTCCGAACAGGCTAAGCATCCACATAAACTGATGTTTCAAATGCAGGAATGTGTTTATAGCTTCAAAGTACAGTAGATACAATCTAGTAAAAAGAGAAAGAAAAGCAACTGTACAGGTCATCTTGCATCAAGAAAAGGATTATAAGAGCTAACGCTGGGCTGGCTGAAAAGTTCGTTTGGTTTTTCCGTGCGATGGCTCTAGTGGTGCTTAGTTGTGGCTCTAGTGGTGCTTAGTTGTCTTTAATTCCATTTGAAACAATTTTGTTAGATTGTACTGTGACAGCTGTCTTACCACTGTGCATTTAAAAAAACTTACCAAGATTGGTGAATTTTTGTGCAGCCATTTTAATATTGAAGATGGAAGAAGATATGCAACATTTTTGGCATACTATGCTTTATTATTTAAAGAAAGGTAAAAATGCAACTGAAATACGAAAAAAGATTTGCACAGTGTATGGAGAAGGTGTGGTGACTGAGCAAACATGTCAAAAGTGATTTGCAAAGTTTCTTGGTACTACTGACATTTTGGCCAAATAATTCTTTGCTGTGGGGCTGCCTTACGCACTGGAAGATGTTTAGCAGTGCCCCTGGCCTCTACCCACCAAAAGCCAATAGCGGGAAAGAGCCGACATACTCAAAATAGCCACATCAATAAAGTTATTGGTGAAAATGAAACACGTGTCTTTTACTTTATGGAAAAAACGCAATGGACTTTTTGGCCAGCCTACTATAAAAACAGAAGGCACACTCACAGCAAACGCACCTCCAACGCACTCCCTTCCTGCACGGCAAACGGCATGTGACAACGGCAAACCGTGATTCCACAGTCAGGTGAGCACTGGTGATCGGAGGTGAGAACAACACGGTCCCTCAGCTCCAAAGGCTCCCAAGGGAGCAAGATCCTCATACACAGAACCACCCCGGCCTTGCCCCGCCAGCAGCGAGGGCCACGGGACACCAGCGTAAACACGCCGGAAGGAGGCCAGTTCCGCTCGGAGAGGGGAGGGGAGAAGGGGACACTTCCGTAGGACAGAGGGACATTTGAGTTGGGTTCTCAAGACCACGTAGGAACCCACCACGTGAGAAGAGAGAGGATCTGGGATGGGGAAAAAGAACATTCTTGATGAAGGAGAGAACACGCAGGGGAAAGTGCCCTGAGAGTCCGTCTCCTCTCAGTGGTGCCAGGAAGTCAGAGGTTTCCCGTAAAGTCACCAAGTCCTGACTGAGCAGCGTCCCTAGAATTGGTTTTAAGTCCAAAGATGAAGAAAAAGAAACACAATAAAACATACCCAGGAAGAGAGCTTCATCGGCACAGACAGAGCAGAGGCAGAGACGGAGACAAGACGCCGCTGCGCGCCTCCCCTAGCACGCACGCCCTTAAGAGCCCCCTCTCCGGCGCTCGCGGCATTTACGGCTCTCCATCCAACATGCCATCCTGTCGCTGTAACTCTGTGGGAGAGATGCCGCCCTGGGCCAGCCCAGTTATCCATGCGACCCAATATTCTGTCTCTGACACAGCAGGAGCGGGCACTGGTTGGGAGAACATGACAGATGTGGCCGGCTCTGTCTAGGTCCGTCTCAAAGTGTGAGAAGATGAGCGGTCAGCACAGAGAAGGAGGTTATTTAGCTTATGTGCCAAATTTGCACTTAAAAAAAAGGTTTAATATAGAACTTACATAATTGATCATTTTTTAGAGCTTCCCATTAGCCACCCTTCAATGAACAATAACTAAATCTCTGTACCGTCCCAAACGATTTGGCGGGAACCGGAGCAAACCATCCGTGAACGCGTTACTTAAAGCAGTGTCATCATTCTTGCTGACGGGCCCCTAAGTACACATGCAGGTTCCTAAACTGGGACTGTTCCTGACAGAGCAATCTCAAAGACAGAGAACACTCCTGATTCTTCACCGGTTCTGGCAGGGAAACTGACCCCCACCCGGGGCAGGTCCTTGTTGACTTAACTAAATTTCAACAGCAAGCTGCATGGGCAAACTTTCTCCATATAAATGCCATTCTCTAACAAGACCCAGGCTGATTTATTAGCTCCTGTATGAGCAGATCCAACCGACGCATAACGCTCTCCTCTGCAAACCTTTCGAGGGCCACCGATGCTTCCTGCCAGCACAGCACCAGGGGCCGGCTGGGGACACCAACTGAATGTGTGAGCAGCCGCCCTTTCTACCCCGTGCATGTATGGAAATTCCTCTTTGATTTGTGGCTTTAATCACGGCTTCCAAAGCCTGTCATTATTTATGAGTCTGACTTTTACACGGACAGTCCATGGGGAACATTTACTCGGGCTACCTGATGGGAAGGACCGCAGTCCGAGCAGACCGCGAGCTCCACGTCGACGTGCCCCATCTCCACGCTCCTGCCACTCACCCGCTGGGGCCGGACTAGGGAGACATGGGGGTGCGAGGATCTATACTGTACTGACGAATGGGACAACATTACTTAAAAATGCAGCGACTTCTCTAGTCAGACTTGAGGCAGACTGGAAAAGTATAGAAGGTTATAAAAGCAAACCAACAACCTGTGTGAGTGTGTGGGTCTCCACCTTCCTACTGCTCACGACATCTGAAACGATCAAGTAGCGAGGACCGGGGTCAAGTCGCCTCTCCGCTGCGCCCCAGCCACACTGCCAGGAAGGTGGCCTCCCTCCCGGACACCGAGTCCCACGCCTGCCCTCTCTGCTCTGCCCCTTCCCCTTTCCACTGACGCCTCCCCCACGGTCCACAGTCCTGCTCCCCTGCGCCCGATTTTAAAATTCAATACTTTGCGGGGAAAGGAAGCAGAACCTTCATACAGAAGTGTACAAAGAATGAATTTTCACCAACTAAACGGGCCTGACCGACCAGCACTCAACTTAAGGAAAACTTCTGCCAGCATCTCCCAAAGCCCCTCCTGCTCCTTCCACTCACTCGACCCCGGCAGAGACCGCTCCCTGCCTTCTCCCGCCTAGATCAGCTTCGCGTGGCTTGTACGTGGTATAAACAGAAGCACACAGTTTGCACTCCTTTCTGTCTGGCTTCTCCCACTCACCGCGACGGTGGCGAAGCTTGTCCATATGGCCGCCTGGCGCTGTGGACCGCTTACTCTCCCAGCTGCAGTTTTCCGTTGTGGAAACGTGACCACAATTTATGATCCATTGTGCTCACGATGGGCAGCTGGGTGGGTTCCAGTTTTTGACTCTTAAGAACAGTGTTCCTAGGACCGTGTCTTTTTGAGAACCTATGTCATGTTCTGTTGGACATATAACCAGGAGTGGGATTGTTGGACCATTCAAATCCTTTTTTTTTTTTTAAATTTTCAGAGTAGACATAAATAATCCAAATGTGTTCTGGGCTCTTCTACCCAAAAAGAGAGGCAGCCGCCACCCCTCCAGCCCCTCCAGCTGCCACTTCTTGAGAAGCTGTTCCCCGCCAGGCTGCTGTCTCACCCACCGCCCGCCGGGGCCCAGAGCCCAGTGGGAGCTCAGTAAACGACCACCAAGCTCCGGAACGGCAGGGGGCGTCGCCTGGACTCCCGGGAACTTCCCAACTCACTCGGGTCTGCTGCGCGCCTCGAACGCGCTGGGCTCCCATCTCTGCCTCATGTCCCCACAGGCCTTCCTTTCTTTAAAACACAGTTCGGCTCCAGTTACTCCCCTGGTTAAAATTCTCCAGTGCCTCCC